TTAACACAGGAAAGGGATAAAATGTCTCCTCATCTGCACCTGGTATGTAGCCCAGCACCTGTAGGCAATGGGAGGTAGAAAAATGAGGTCTTCTAGCCTTAAAGAGGCAACAGTTACCTAAGGCTGGAAGGGAAATCCTATTGTCATGGGATGAATATTGCTCTTCACAGTAACTTGGATTTCCCTTGACTTGGACTCCAATATTAGGGCAGGTCAGATTGATAGAACCTCAGAAACCATTCGTCTGATTGTTCTTTTCAGCTTGTAGTTCTTGAGGACGCGGACTGAGTATTGACTGATTATTAGAGTCAGCACCTACTTATTTGATCTTGTACTTCGTGGCTGATTAAACCAGAGGCCATTGCTAGGAAACATGGTTAGAATGTTGGCCGAGAACTCAGGTTTAGTGCTCTGCACAGTCATGAAGTGCACTGAGTAACCTTCTTGGCCTGACCTATCTCACAGTTGTTGTGAGGATAAAATGGAGAAGACAAGGAATCATGTATGCCACCATGGGTTCCTTGCAGGAAACACAGAATTGAACTGTAACAATTAAATAAAAACAAAGCTATTTGCTGCCCTTTTGTAACACCCAGAAACAGTAGTCTGAGGCAGTCACTTCACTTTGTGTAATGGTAGGGCCAGATGATTACCTGAGGGCGTGAATATCTGTTGCCTGCAAAATGATTATGGCTAAAAGGGAGTTTGTGGTGCTGGCTTTTAGGAGTGGATCTATGCAGGTGTTGGCTTTGGCAAAATGTCTGCCTGTTTTGGATTAAAATATTACTGCTGTTTGTGTAGAGCAGTGTGTATTCAAAAACTTACTTGGAAAATTCAGAACTGTGCAGCGGTTGAAGCTACAGAAGAGTTTAATTTTAGATGCACATTTCATAACCTTAATTCCTTTGTCGAAATACCTTGTATGTGACTTGCTCTTGTGTAAGAGGTATAACCTCATTCTTCGTCTGTTGCAAATAGGGTTAGGAACTGTAGATAAAGGAAGTATAATTTCATTTTACAAACTTTTAATTGTAGGATTGACTTAACATCTGCCATTTTTTTCATCTTAACATACTGCTTAATGAGCAGTATTGGGAGTTCATATCTGATGTTTTGATGCAGTATTGAATCTGTTCTACTGGGAGTTATTCCAGACTTGTTGTATTTATGCTATTCGTTTCAAGTAATGCCCAGCTGAGAAACTTTCAGTTGCATATCCACCATGCTATTCTAAAGAAGCAATTGTGTCAAACTCATACATACTGTGAAGCTGTGGATGAAAAAGAGCAGGGTGGGTAGGAAGGAGAAAGATTCCATGTTGAAACACAATTTCCTGTGGAGATCCTTTAACACAGAACATACGTTCGAACTACAGAGAGGCTTTTTGATTCTCTCTCTGGACTTCTACTTGGCAGAAAACCACACCATGTTTCTGAAGATGTGCTGTTATGGGTTGAAAATGCAGGGATGTACAGGACAAAACTTGAGCTCTGTAGCAACTTTAATTTAAACATGCATATACCAATGAAGTATAATAAATCCCTCCCCAAAACTGAAGATCTTTACTTGTGAGTAGAAATGTATAGGCTCGCACTGTTAAAATACCACTTGGCTAACAAGTGTATATATAAATGCTCAATAATACATGCAAGGTTAAAAGGTGATTTAAGGTTGCCTGAGTTCTTTCTTTGATCTGAAAAATGAAACCAAAGAATAGAAGAGGCTATTCAGTTAACATTCCCAGATGAATCCTTCAGGTTATCTGTGCATAGCTTAGGTTTTCAAAATCTATAAAACAAAGACAAAAGATGGATGATGGAAAATTGTTAAAGGTCAGAGGAAAGCATTTTATCAACTTCTCCCACAGAGAATGTTTCTAACCAAAGGACTTCTTGTTTGACCTCATAGAGACTGAGCACTAGGGATCCTAATCAAAGAGACATATGCAAGGTGCTGAATTGATGTCTCTGTCTACAATTTTCCTTGCTGATGGTTGTGGAAATCTTGTTTTCTAGCTAAAAGTGCAGATCACCTTACTGTATCAATGTACTCATCCAGTTTCTTGATTTTACTGTTCATAACCTCTCATGCACATTGGAAATTTATACAGCATTGCCATTTGGATAGTGGCATGTAATCATTCACCCTGCCGTGGCCATGATCACGTGACACTCTTCCTTAACTTCCTGCACTGGCTCCTCATCCTTACCTTCAAATCTCTCACAGTCTTGCCTTCCCTTTGCTCTCAGCAGTTCCCTCCTGAAACATCTTTGTTCTGTCCTCAAACCAGAGAATTCCACCTTTGCTGCTCTGGATGCTTTGAAGTATCTCCCAAAACACCTTTGTGATGTCACCTCTCTTACCTTCTGCCTACTTTTCCTCCAAGGCTTCCTTTTCTGAGAAGCCTTTGGTAGAATCCCCAAGCTTCTAGGCATTTCTGCACCTGAGCCTGTGATTAATGTGAACAACTGAAACAGCTAGTTGTGTCAAATTTAGATTGTGAGCTCTCGGGACAGGAACGTGCCTTCTCGTATTCTGTAAAGTGTCCTGTATTCTCATGATGCAAAACAGGTTGATTTGTTTTACACCTTTCCCCCCTCAAGGGTTGCATATCTGCTTTCAGGGTTAGGGCTGTTTTGTGGGTGGGATTTGCTTTCTAATACTATCATGTACAGAAGAATGGCAGTATGGACCTCCAGTGCATAGTGGTGTCTTGGCCTGCATGCATGCCAGTGCTGCTGTTAATATGGGGTGGTTATTTCAGTGCAAATGATTAAAACTAGTATGTTTGGACCCCTTAACCAACATCCAAAACCTTTACCACAAGTTGACCTGTATAAGCCCCAAAGAGTGGGCCAAGAGATTTCTGCTCATGGAAGTCACACTGTTGTCCTCCTCCATCTACTTCTGTCTTCATTCATGCACTGTTATTTTAAGTACTTTTGGGGCAGGAAGTGTATAAGGGCACCATGTGTGACCTGTAGATGCATAATGAAATAATTATGCACTATGAATAGTGGCTGCATGTGGAACTCCCTCATGCTGCATGCCTTGTACTTTTAAATCTTACTCTCTGCTTTCTTGACTTGTGCACCTTATATCATAACTGCACTAAATATACATATTTTGAGAATTAACCTCTCTTCTTCATGACCATTATTGCAACTTGTCCATCAACAATCTACTTCCATTCAGTGATATAATATTAAATTAATATATCCAGAAAGTAAGAAACTATAGGTATTTGTGTTTCTTTTGGTTTGTAGCATTTAAATCATATAGTCTGTGAATTGACTGGGAGCATTTACAAATTTTGGGCCTGATTGCTGCTAAGAAGCCTTGGGGCAATTATAATTGTTGCCTTAGAGCTTGACTTTGGAAGTTTTGTTGACAAATGTTTCCAAGTAAGAATAATATCCTAAATGGAGAAAAATGATCCATACTCACTGATTTACCTGTTTGCTTCAGCGCTCAATTCAAAGGACCTTTAAATTCAAACAGCCTCAGATCAGGCTGCTTTAACATGTCTCCTACAATACGTACATTTTGGATCTATGGCAAAGGCCCTGCTCCCTATCCCCCTGTTACTTAAAGCTCAGCAAGTAGCTAAGATGGGCAAGGCCTTTTTCTAATGGCATCCTTCTGTGGAATGCCCTTCCCATGGAAACCTGCCTAGCTCTTCCAAAGTCCATTAGAGAGTGTTGAAAGTCAGAATGAGTTGCTTTTGAGAGTAGCATTGCCTTAGATTTCTTTTATGTAAGAAAGGTCAGGTTTAAATATTTTAGGTTCATTTTGTGCTCTTTATCATCAATTTATATGATGTTGTCCTTTCTTTCCACTTTTGCTTTCTTCATTGTGGTCTTCAAGAAAGCACTTCTTCAGGGAGACTTCTTTTATACCTGTAATGGTAGCTTCTGTCAGTGCTGAATGATAAATTGCTGTTCTTATAACCTTTTACCTAACCAAAAATTAGCCTCATTAAAAAACACATTGTTTCCTAGGAAAATAAATTTTGTTCAGTTCATGTACTTGATGTTTTAACTGCTTCAATTTAAAATGATGCATTGCTTGGTATTATCGAGCAAAATAATTGCTGGATCGAAAGTAGTTTGTTTAGGTTGTAGATGTGTCTCTAACTTTTCAACCTGGAGATCATTTGAGGTCAATTGACTACTATTACAGTTTTTAAATATGCATTAAAATAAAAATATCAATAGCTTGTTGCTGATCAAAGGATAAAAAAGTATTGCAACAATTCTTTCTAGAGTGCAGATGAAATACCCAAAATAATTACCATAATAAAAATAAATTAAAGTGGGTGATTTTCTTTATGTGTGAAATATATTTCAAATAGTGAACCAATTATTTAATTCTTCTTTTTAATTGTTTACTCTTAAGTTGTCCTGGAGTGGAGTTTGTGTAAGGGTTTTTCCATACTGGAGTTATGTGGATTCTGGCAGGCAGGAGGATCCTGAGCTCTGTAAACAGCTTTATATTCTGTAAATCCTGTAAAAGTTTGGCAAATTATTAATAACCAAAAGAGAGGCAACTTCATACTCTGTTATTATTGTATGCAATTAGAGTGTAAAGCCTTGTTGAATTCATTTCCTTTTCTGCTTGAAAGGAAAATATTGGGTAGTATTCAATGGTGCACTTACACAACAGCGATTTAGTGCTTCTAGGAGCAACTGGAAATGAGCAGAAATGTTGGTTCTGGAATGGAACAGGTCAACTATATTTGCATAAGGGAGCTGTGCTGACCTTTTCTAAGCCAGAAACGAGCATTTCTGCACATCTGGGGGCTTCCCCAGGGAATCCAGAATTGCACAAACAGTGAGTCCTTTTTGTGCAGTGGAATTGGCTGGAGGGGCTTATTGCACAACAGAATTGGTAAGAGTTTGTAGATCCTCATTGGATATCGCTTGTTGCATTTTGGTGCACAGCTGCATGAAGAACTTGTCAACACAGTTGTTGATCACCACTCTCTTGTTTACATGCAGGTGCAGGTGGGGCAAACAGAGATCCCATGTCCAATAACAGAGTGCAATGAACATCTGGATGAAACAACCATCCTCTTCAACTTGCCACATGATGACATCATCAAATATAAGTACTTCCTGGAACTTGGCCGTATTGACTCAAGCACCAAGCCATGCCCTCAATGCAAGCACTTTACAACCTTCAGGAAGAGAGGCCACATTCCAACCCCTACCAAAATGGAGAACAAGTACAAAGTGAGCATGCTCACCAGAGCTATGGATTAGATGACACAGCTGTGAGCAGCAAAAGTAGGCCAGGATATGGTGGGCATTAAATGGGCTTTCTTCTCTTACTGGAATCTAATGTAAGCTGTGCTTTTAGAATACAAATGTATAGCTTCATAACCCATATTAGTTACCTGCCCAGAATAACTGGCCAGTTTACATGCAAGTTGCTTTGATTGTTGTAATTCCTTGTGTATGTTGAACCAGCCATGCACTCTAGGGTATTTCACAAGAGCGGGCAAATCCTGCATTTCATGAAGTATTAAGTGAATGTCGTCATGCTTTCAGATCAATGTTTTGCTGTGGCGGTGCATGGCTGAGCCTTTCAAATTTCTTTGTAGGTTTTTCCTGTGCAGTTGTGTAGCTTCAGTGGAAGTTGATTTGGAAAGTCCTGCAATCAGGCTTTTATTGATTTACTCACAAATCATGAGCAGATCTTTCCATTCTTATTATGTGTTGTGTTGTTTTTGTTGTCATATATATGTTTTGTCTTTGAACTCAATGGGGTTTACCTCCAGGTATATGAATACGGGCTTGCAGCCTTTACCAAGTGAGCATCAGTGAATATATATGTGCAATGTGCACACTTTTTAAAAGCAAATATTTGGAAATTATGTCATGACCAATTATTGCTTGCACAGTACAGTGACCCATGGTGGATAACTTAGAACAGTACACAGAAAGGAGGCATTAAAAGGCAGGTTAGTATCTCCCATTTCTGGAGTAGCTGGAGAACCAGGCATGTATGGAAAATGTGGAGGGTTCTGAGAACTTGAAATCTAGATGATTACATTGTGAAAAGGAAGATGTTTTTGCCATCTCCTTTTTGGTTTACTTTCTTCCCCTTTGATGCTGATTGAAAATTGACAGCAACTGGGTGAAAATGAGCTAGAATAACAGTCTCCCCCTGCCATTCTGTTACCTGCTGCACTTTGCTACTTTCTGACACCTGAAACAGATGAGGGCATTGATCAGGCAAGACCAGGTATAACAGAAATCTGTGGGCACACATTTTCACACCTACAAAAGACTGGATTTTTTCAAGTAAAAGGTATGAATACAACTGTCAGTCACCCTGTAGATTTTTTTGCAAACTGCTCACTCCCCTTGGCTTATTTGTAAGGTGGCTAAGTATGATGTATGAATGTCGCTATAAAGTTCTAGGTTTAAAGGCTGACATATACCTTTAGACAATACCAGGAAAGGCTCCTACCATAGATTTTGGTTAGTTGCTGTCAGTCTGGTTCACTAATACTTTATGGAGTAATTCTGAAGGGCCATAGAACAACAATATAATAAGAAAGCCATGCTGGATCCAACCAAAGGTCCATCTGAACCAGCACTCTGTACACATGATAGCAAAGCAGCTGCCTGCAGGATTGCTCAAGCAGAATGGGTGCAAGACCTCTGCCTGTCCAAGCTCCTCAGCAACTGGTATATGCAGGCAGACCACCTCTGGTAAAAGAGGTAGCACATAGCCAGCAAGGCTAGTTGCCACTGATAGCTTCCTCCTCCATGAAAATATAAATATGAACATATAAATATGTTGTTTGGAGTCAGCTCCTCACTACACATTATAACAGGGGTCTCAAACTCAACTTACCTGGGGGCCGCTGGAAGTAGAGTCTGGGTGAGGCTGGGCCGCATCAAGCGGTGGTGGTGGGCCGCCCATCCCGCGTGGCTCCCAGAGGCCGGCCTGGGCGCTGCCGGCGCTTGGAAGGCCGCAGGGCCCCGCCCCCATGCCCCGCGCATCCTGGCAATTGGCCCGCGGGCCGCGAGTTTGAGACCCCTGCATTATAAGGTAGCAGAACAAAGTAGAAGGTGATTTAGAAATGTATAAAATGCCTTCCTTTCACAGTATGTAATATATTTTTGATATAAAAATAGTCAGAATTAATGTATATATTCATGATTTCAGAATTTGCAGTTATAAGAGCTTGGTTGCTTTCCAGACAAAATATCTTCTAACATAATTTTAGAGGTATTTTAGCTGCTGAGTGTGGTATGTTTTCCTGTTTTGGGGTGGGGGTGAGGATTTCTAGCTTGTTCTCAGATTTATGGGTACACAGAAGAGAGATCTGTGGAAGGTCCTGCTTAGGAAAGAATACAGATCAGGACTTGTGATCTGTATAACTGTTGTTTTGTTGGCTAACCAAAATTTGTTTTTAATATGATAGTGTACGTAGATCTTCAGTATTCCCATGCTACTCTTATTAATTTCCAGACATAACTATGTAATCTTGGGCAAGTATAATTATATAAATACCATTGAAACAATTAGTATTTAGGTGGGTTTTGTATGGTTGATCTGATTAAATGTTTATACTAAAATCATGCTTGGTTTTGAAAGCAGTTGATAAGAAAGTCCTTCTCAATCTATTCTTCAGCACAAAGGGAAAAACATGTAAGTCTTTTGCCATGGTTTGTCAATGTCTCAGTTTTTCATCTGCTTGTGAAACCATAGCAAATACTTTACTGAAACTATTTATATGGCACTTGTAGGCTGCAAATCATGTTGTTAATTCATTTGCAGTAAGTCATTCCATATTCAGTTTTGCAGGAAGAGGAAGAACTACCATAAGCTATCCAATAAACTCATACTTGAGCAGATTTGGGTGCAGTATTTCCATATCAGTTTTGTTAGATGACCCTGGCTATGTGCAAACCTGGTCTCATTTCCAAATTAGCATCTTAGGATTGTTCTAGGATTCTTTTTAGCTTTAGAAAAAGTCGATGGGAACGGACAGAGTAGTGACAACACATCTGTGGAATGTTCTTTTTGGGAACCCATTGAATAGCCAATCTTCATGCTTTTTGACATACATTATAATTTTCATTGTAAATGGTATCTTAGGATCAATTTTTCCTCTTTGGAACTCCCCCCCCCCCCCCGCTTTAAGCCTGCTGTGGTTTATGTTCTATGTTTTGCTGGTATACTATATAGTTTATTTTTCATAAGCTGGTTTGAAAAGTACTTGAAGGCATTAGCTAAATGTATTTACCTAAATAAATTAGCAGGGCTTCCTTCAATTCTAAGTAAATGAAATTTTGGCGAACCTGGGAACATGCCCCAGGTAATATGCTCACTCCTGCTACCTCCCTTTCCTCCCCTGCAGGGTCACTTCTCCACATACTGATTTTCTCTAACCACATTTTGCCATGACTTGCAAGCTTGTAAGTTGTACACTGTTACAAATGGTGGTTTGAGAAGAACAGAAAGTAGAGAAAAGAACAAAGGCAGCCCACAAGCCAGCAATGTATCCCAGAAACTTGAAAATATTGTTCTGAAGGTTTGGTTCATGATCTCTAAACCGCACCACTGACTATAGGTAAGATCAATTGTTGTAGTTTTTTTACTGGTTTTATGTTCCAAACATTTTTGTACATGGCCATAAGCACCTAATTTGAATGTTTCAAAATGCAGCTTTTCACAATAGTTGAGATTCTGTGAAGGAATCGGAATAATATTTCTCAAGATGTCGTCAGCCAGTAATAGGGACTACATATGTTCCTTATCTCCTGTTTGCTCTTGGCAGCTGTTTGTGAAAGGCATGTGATGAGAAAATCCAGCCATTTGTTTCATGGCATATTAGAGTGGCTGTGCATCCACGGTTGATGCAGTCAGAGCTTATAATTGTTTTGAAAATAAGGCTCAGAAGTAATAAGTACTTTGGAGCCAGTGCTGTCTTGAAGATTTCCTTGCACTGTTGAATTAAGTGAGCATTCTTCATATTCTTACTCATGTGAAACACCCTCTAAGTTCTTGATGCTTGACCACTTCTAGCTGTAGCAGGAAGAGAAGTCCATAAATAAAATTGGCACAGTGATTGGAATCTAGATAAAATTCTACAACAGTCTACCACATTGTATGGTGTGTGCATTTCTCATGCAGGATGATTTTTCAGAATATATTCAGGTTGCCTACACCAGAATTAAAAGTAGGATTTTGGCCATCAGCCCCGATACCCTAAGCTCTGGTGCTTTTTGTGTGTAGTGATAACGATGGTAGGGGAGCAGTGTAATTAACTTAAACAGTTGATTTTGTAAAATCCTCATGACATATATCAACATTTTCCTTCATGTTTATGAGCCCAGTTTTTCTACCTGTAGTGAGAACAGAGTAACTAACAGTTTAAGATACATTCTCAATGTGCAGCTTAAATAAGTTTCTCTTCTTCAGTACCGCTTCATTATTTTTATGTATTTTGTCTGAAGTTTGCATCCAGTGTTTTTTGCAAGTGCACACTCACTGCCAGTGCATGTTCCTTTCAAAAGCCCTTCACCAGATTAGTGATACTGCAGAAAGATCAGGCATAATCCTTTGAATGGTAAATGCCCAGTTTTGCTTATATTGAAGAAATGTTGCCAGGGTTTTGGCAACATTGATTCTGCCATCTGTTTTTGAAAGTAGGTGCATATCATTATGAAACTAGCTTTTCTGTCAAGCCTTACAAAATACATCTTGCTAAACTAAGTCACATTTTTCATAACATGAATAATATTTCAAAGGTCAGCTTTTTTTGTTGTGGAGTCATTAATGTTCAAGATGCTTAAGGGTTCCCATCAGGAGTAGAAAGTTGCAACCTTTTAAAGGCAAATCTTGAAGAAGAATTAATTGGGCTAGTCAGAAGAATATTTTGCAACATTGATCATTGTGAAATAGAACTTTGTGGCAGTGGCATGATTCGAATGCAGGTATCCAGTCTTCAACACTACTGGGTATTCTGCTGAAAGCATGTTAAGTAAACAGGCAGCATCTGCTCTCAGAGATGCATTATGATTATGCATCCGCAGTACACAGATACAAAACCATGAACATTCCATTTGTTCTGTTCTTACTGAATAACCATGATTGAAAAGCAGTAGGAGAAGAAATAACATGCTTTAAGGAATCCAGTGGTTGTGTTTTACATAGCTAATCTGCTTATATTTGTTTTAACATCATTTGCATATCATTACAAACACCAAACTCTACCAGTTGGGGATGTTGCATTTCTCTGATATTTTTGCATTTACATTTCTGTTCTAAGAATTTAAATAATGTAAATCAGTATCTGAAGCTGGAAAGCTTGATAAGTTTGGACTGTCACTTTATTCAAGCATATATTACATTTCCAGCTTTTCAAATTAATGCATGAAATTACTTTGCTCCTAATATTTTCATTAGATTTTAACCAGAGTTTTTGGGCAAGACAAAAAAAGGATTTATTAAAAGGATTGGCAAGGCTTTAGGTAACATTAGAAAGATTTTGTTGAACTAATGGAATCTCACCAAGACACAACCATCAAGCACAAAGGGCACAACCTCTGGTCAGCCCCAGAATAGAAGCAAACAAATGATTAGATCATATATCAATATACCAGCCACAATTTATTAATGTTATAATAAAAGTAAGGCAAGATCAAAATTTAAGATAATGTTGGTTTTCAAACAATATAGGAATAGATGGTGGACCTAACTCTACTGGATTCTTTAAAAACTTCAACAAGTATAAGAATTACTTGTAGTACCTTGTCTGATAGCAAGAAACAAAATGATAGATGGATTGAGGGCTTGGAGTGTTTGCATACTATAGAAGGAGAACACCAAGGGTGATTACTGAAATATCCAGCAGAGAAGATCCATCACTGACTCTGGGACTGGCTTTCGGTAGAGTAAAAATAACTGTGGCAGGGCAGGGAGAACTGTGTCACTGTTTTCAGCAGATCTCAACAATGGAAGCTTGGATCCCTTCATTTCTTAAAACGTTGTTTAATCCATATAGGAAGTCTATACTGTGATCTGTAAATACTCCACATATCACATTATACAATTGTCTGTTGCATGAGGAAGGGATGATATTTCCAGTGCTCTTCGTATCAAAAGCAAATAAGGTATTATCCCTTCTAATAGCATACATTATTTGCTTCAGTGCCTATCAGTTTTGAAGAGAAACAGGGCCATCCAAAAATAAGATTGGCTTCTACACATTCAGGGGTGTCCCTAAATAGTTCAATACCTTTGTAGATAATACCCAGGTAAAAGGATATTATTTGCATATCATTACAGGTAAGAGGAAGTGCAAACTGGCCTGGTATTAGAGTTAGGACTTTTTCTCTACCACCTTTCTGAAGCCAACCAAGGTGGTTTGCAAAACATTCAGAAAACAAATAATGAAAGCAAACATAGTAAAATATTCCAGTTGTTTTTAGAAAGTACAATAACAATATTTAAAAAGTAGAAATTATTTTTCTTGACTCTTGGCACCTTTCTTAAATCCAGAGTACTTAGAGTTTCAAGAGTTTCAAGAGTGAATTCCACAGTTTGGGAGCAACACAGAAAAAAGAAAGCGCTTCCCCATGTGCCTGACAAGCAGACCTCTTACTAACGGTGTCTTCCAAAGCACATTTCCTGCTGATCAGGAACTGAGAAGGTTCATTCCAAGACAGGAGGTCTCTTAGATGCTAGACTGAGCAGTGCTTAGAACTTCAAGGGTTAAAGCCAGCGCTTGCATTTTGCACAGTTGAAGCATCATGATTCTCTTCTAGGCTCCTGCATTGCAGTGGTCTAATCATGACATAGCCAGGGATAAATATTGGTCACATCAGACTGACTCAGGCAAAGCTCTGAACAAGAGCTTACCTCTTAGGGAGTGCAGGATTCACAGGCTTGCATGATAATGCCCAGTGTCAGTGAAGGAGGAGTGAAAAGGCTTCCTTGCTAAGCCTCTGCCAAGGATTTATCCGTGTGTCATTGTTTGTGCTAGACTCTCCCAACCTGGTGACCTCCAGCTGTGTTGGTCTACAACTCCCTGGACAACCATACTGGAGGGCACCAGGTTGATGAAGCCTGGCGTATGTGATGCTTAAATGGTGCTTCCAGATTATGGTTGCATTTGATCATCCTTCCCGAACTAAGTCCTCTTCATTTACTTTGTTATTGTAGAGACAATACAAGGAATGGGAAGCAGCTGGGGGGTGGTGAAGGTAGATTATCCAAATATGAAGGTCAGCATGCCGTGACTACACACTGCTTTCAAAACATTTTCTTAGACTGGGGTGCCTACAACTTTTAACTCCGTATCTAACTAAATGGCCCTTGTGGCTGATTGGCAAGAACCCTTGATCACATCCTGTGTTGCATTCCTTCCTATGTCCCTTACAGGACTGGCCGCAGACGCTGCAAAATTGTCAAAGCGATTGTTGGGGCATAATCCACTCAAGACTCATCAGTCTCTGAACTCAGAAGCTGATGATCATCCAGTGTAGAACAAGAGGAGCAGCAGAGGGGACCTTCATCTCCTGGTTCCCCCGTTCTGTCAGTTGCCTTTGGTTTTCTAGTCCTGGGGGCGTCAGAGGGGGAGGGCAGGAGATACTGCCTACATTGTACCCTGGCTTCTGCGGTCTACTTCCCTCCTCACCCACCTGAATGTCCCCTTTGCCTGCTTTCTGAGGTTCAGTTCCCAACCTTGGAAGGTTGCTGGAACAGTTCTTCCTGTGCCAGCCACTGGAGGAAAAGGGGTCGGGGCATGGGTTCCCAGCTCCAAGGTCAGAATTTGTCATTAGATTTGGTTCTGGGTATATGAAGTATCCTATTCCTTCCCCTCTGAGATTGTCCATGGACTATAGGATTGCTTCTTTGGACTACTGGCGTTTTCTACGACAGACTCACATTTTCCTGTGTAAGGATGCTGATTTTGGATGCCTAATCACTTTTAATGCCCACTTTTCCAAATGGTATGTTTCTTGTTTCCTACTATTATTTATACAGATCCAGTGCCCGACCTGCCAATTTGTGTGGTGTTTTAAGTGCCACTCTCCCTGGCATGAAGGTGTCAATTGCAAAGAGTACAAAAAGGGAGACAAGCTATTACGTCACTGGGCCAATGAAATTGAACACGGGCAAAGAAATGCTCAGAAGTGTCCAAAGTGCAAGGTAAGAAGACTGCATTTCTGCCTACGTGCCTTGCAGGAGTGGCTAAGATGCTGCAAAATTATCAAAGCAGTTTAGGGTGCAAACTAGGTTATTGTTCAGGTTTTGATTCAATGAAACTTTCAAAGCTCAGTGTTTTGTGCCTACTCACTTAATGATATTCACATTTGCTAAGCATGTGTTATCAGCTCATTTAAATTCAGAAGAACTTAATCCCTGTCACCTGCTGATGTTGCTACTCTTTTAAAAGTGCTTTTAATGGCTCCCTCTTTGTGTTGGTGGTAGCTGGACTGCTGAATTTTGAAACTGTTAAAATTACTACCTCCCATTAAAACAGAATAAAAAAAACATTGTGAGCATCACTCACACATACACAATAATAGCAAATCAAAATTCAAGACTTCTGGAATAAATTAATCTTTCTGAGATTTACAATATGCAAGTCTTACAGGATGGAATATTCCAGCAATTTTCATTGCATTCTACTGATTCAAGGAACTAATAGCCTAAGATTGCAAGGAGAAGGGGAAGGAGAAGAAGTAGTAGTGGTAAACAAAGAACCAACATTTCACAAAATATGAATGGACAAAACATGTAATATTTGCATTTTCATATACGCATTCAAGGTAGCTACAGGTGGAAACCTAACAGATGCATTGGAAGATGTATTTCTTCTCTTCTAGATTGAGCATCAGGAGTGGGCAACTTGTGGGCCAAAACATTTGGAGGACCACAGCCCACATCATCCATCACCATTGACTGTGTTGACTGGGGATGATGGACATTGTAGACCAATACATTTGGAGGGCCACAAGTTGCCCACCCATGGTATAGGTGATAGCATACCTATGTCTACACAGAATATGAACCCCAAGCCATTATACATCAGATCTCTGAGACAAAGCACTTGGAAGTCCCAAACAATGCAGGAAGAGCCAGTATTAGACTTTTCCACCACACCAGCATTGCCATTCGTAAAATCTAGGATGATAGTGGTATGAGGAACGATGTCAGAGTGAGCTCCACATCCTTGGGTTTCTGATTATATTTTTGCTAAGCACAAGGAGCCATGCAGCAGTGGTTCTCATGCTACAGAGAAATGCAAAGTGCACCCTGAAAATAGTGGTATTTAAATTCTAGACTAGAATTCTACCAACTCCCAATTCTATTAACTTAATCTTTCATATAATCCGCTACAACTTAATCTTCTGCATAAAATGTGCATCTAGTTTATGCCTGAAAAACATAGGGCAGGAAGAGGCAAGAAAGTTCAGCTATGCACAATAATATTCTGGTAGTTCATGCCTTTGGCAGAAAAATGTGTTTTTCGTCCCTTCCAGTTCTGATTCTGTTGTTGCTGAAGACATAGGAACGATGTGGATTGTGCATAGAAGGGAAATGACAGCTGCTTGAATTTCTGTGGACAAATGCCAACTTTTGTTTTATGCTAATAATACAGCATTAACTTTTCCTTTGTAGCCTATATTAAGAGTTCAGCAGTGACATTACAGTAGATGATGTGACATAACAGCTGAATTAGGAATATTTATTTCTTTAAAAAGATAGCCTGCAGTGATGGTGCAAAGATCTTGAAATATTTCCATCAAATTAGTCATGAATTTCTTTCATACCTCAGAGTACTGGTTGGTTTGACAACTTTGATTTGGTTTCTGCTTAGTAAATAATAAGGTTGTGGCAGCTGGCACAGAAAAAAGGAGCGCTGAAGGGTGTGATCTTAACACATGTTTAGACAGAAAAAATCCCTACAACTGCTACCATTCCATGGCCAGCCATACTAGCTGAGGAAACTGGGAGTTCTTGGATTTTTTTTCTGTCTAATCATGCATAGGATTTACCCTAAGACGATTTTAGCTTGCTTCACATGTCAGAAACCTGGGGCCAAACTCCACTGAAGGTATCCTTATAGGAAGAGAAGACACAGGAAAACTTGTGCCTGAAGAATTTGAAATTGCCAGTCCCTGTGCCTTGAATTACTAGTTCCATTGATTACCAACAGTGCTGACCTATGTTAATTGTTAGTTTGACCACAACTTTATTTACTTTGAAAACAAATGCTTTACTGTATGTCAGGATTTTTTAGTGCCAGTTTCTACACTTCAGCTTGGTTGATCTGTCAGAAGAAAACTACTACAATATTTAGTTTCTAAATGCTTTACATAAATGAATATACATAGTATTCAGACATTCAATGAAAGTATAGTTTAACCAGGTGGTAGCACCAGAATCTAGGACAGCTATTTAGAGAGTTTTATCTCTGGTCCAGCAACTGCATTTAAGAAAAAAGGATATTTTAAACCTGCTTCACTTAATAACACTGTAAATGGCAATAAAAATGAACTTTATGTGCAGTACAAACATTTTTATCAAGAGAACTGAGGATTGTAGTATGTTACTTCCTTGAGGCATGGTGAATGCTTCTACCAACTGGTTCTGCTTGTTTTTACAAAACTGCGTTCTCACTGCACAAAAAGGAAGTAGAATATGTTTGGAACACTTTGTTCTGATACGAAACTGACATTTTGGAATTGCAGCATCACTGTCATATACATTCCTTGTGTTTACCAAAAATTATGCCAAGCTGCAAAGGCTACTGCCGTTCACAAAAACAGTTAAACCCTTTTATTATTCTATATGACTGTACCCCTTCTGTTCACTGCATTAAAACTTGCTTCTTTTAATACCAGAGAAACTTCATTTTATTTGAAAGGAAGTTTTAGTGCTGCTTTTTTCCTCAGTGATACTCCCAGGAGCTTTAAATTGTGGGATATTTGATTAGGTTATTTATTTAAAACTTTTATATGCCATCCCGTATGCATGGCATCTCGGGACGGCTCACAATCAGTAGAATGCTGGCGGAGAGTTATAGGTGATTTCTAGTAGACAGTTATCTGGTCTGTTAAGGTATAAAGCAAGTTCTTGCTACACTCATCCAGGTCCCTGATATATACATTATTGATCTAGACAATCTATTATTTTAAAGTTTCAATTTTTCTTTATTACCATAACACTCCACTGTGCAAAACAATTTAGAAAGGAAGACCAATTCCATGTCGGTTAGTGCCTGGTTTATTAACACTCCATATTAAAGGTCCAATTCTGTCCTGCATCATCCAGCAGGCCCCAGTCAGTGTGAGTGCCTGGAACCTGTTGGAAGTTGTAGGACTTTTTTCTGTCTAAACATGCATAGGTTTGCACCCTAAGGGTCTTTCCTATGACCTACTATTCATAGGATTGCCCTCAGACAAACTGCTCAGCTCTGATTCAGTTTTAGTGCCCTGTTGCCAAAGCAGTTTTATTTATTTAGTTATTTAAACCATTTCTATGCCGTCCCATTTGCAAAATGCCTCGGGGCGGCTTACAATATAAATAAACAATTATATAATTAGACTTAAAAAACCGGAAACATCTCTGCATGTACATAAAAACCCAATAAATACAATTAATAAATTAACAATTAAAATAACTTTTAAATAAAAAGGTCTTGGCCTGGCGCTGAAAAGCAAATAACAACAGCGCCAGGCAGACCTCTCTGGGGAGCACATTCCATAGATGGGGCGCCACCGCAGAGAGGGCCCTCCTCCGGGTTCTCACCTTCCTAATACCTTTCACGGAGGGTTCCCGGAGAAGGGCCTCTGCTGCCGATCTCAAGGGGCAGGAGGGCATATTTGAGATTTGTGACTTTGAAAAGTATAGATGTGATGCCAAATGGGTAAGCATTTGTAACTTGAGCAGAAACGGTTGGTGGTGGTGGTTGCCTGTTTCCCGATCATGCTTTTGATTATCATTATTGATGTTAATTATGTGTTTCTTTGGAAACACGGTTCCTGGTCAGTACTGAACTTTATGGCGGGCCAGTCTGAGGAGGTTAGATAAGTCCATGGCCACCTTCTTTAAAGGATTTCCCCTTTGGGTTGGGTAACTTACATGCATAGCCTGGAAATTTGTAGAAGCCAAAAACAAAACAGTGCTTCACCACCAAATGTCAGTAGCAAACTACTATGGAGGGTTTAAAAGGATAAAGTTGTCTTCCGTGACATAAACACTTTCTCTCTGAGTTTGCAACTGGAGTTTAGGGGACTACAGCTTATTCTAGTCAAATAATTAGTTTGGTCTATGAACTGACAGTTGTTCCCTTCCTGCTCCTTGCTTTTTATTTTTTGAAAGAAATTGACTTAGCTTTAGTCATGTTTTCCATTTCCATGCCATGTCTAACTCCTCCTCAGAAAGGAACAAAGAAACCGTCCCTACTTTCCAGGCTTATCAAACAAACAACAAGAGGTTTTATTCCAAATGTCAGCCAGTTCACCTGAGACTCTGCTTCAATATAAAATATATTATAACTTTAAAAATAAAAATAAGTTTTAAAAGGAAAATGAGGTATGTAAAAACTAAGAGGAGCTATTCATGGCATTATTCAGGATTATGTTTATCTGAAACTAAATACAGTTATCTCTAAATTAAAACTGAAATGTATTATGCTTCAGCATTCAGAGAAGGCCAGTATATATTTTTCTGATGTCTCTTTGATAGTATGCCCATACTGGGAAAGTATATTGGGCTTGCTCTTTCCCCTCATACAGAGGAAGATGGGAAAGGGAGGGAAACCCTGCAAAGATCAAGAGATACTACATTGACTTGCAGCATTGCCAGTCATCACAAGTGTAGCAGCATCTACCATAATAAATGTTACATGCATGAGGGACAGGTGCTTCCTACTCAAGAAACCTAGAATCTTTATCTGTTTTTTAAAAGTAAAAATATAAAAGTTGGACTTTTCAAAATTCTGTTTGAATTATTGTGTACACCCCCATAGGCTTCCAGTTTGCTAAATAACTAGAAGATTGAAGAGCTTGAAAGGGTAACTTAATACAGAAGAAGTTAATCTAAGATGCAGTATGTCTTTCAGTTACTATATACTGCCTTGGATTGATGGAAAGGGAGAATATCCATTTAAAACAAATCTAGATTCAGTGTTTTATATTTGTAACTTCAGAGTTCTTCTACAGAACTATTTTGCATTTGACCTCTCTACAGGAGAGCCCCATTTCTTGGTAATACCTTAGGCTTAGAGAACTGATGGGTGTAATTATGAATTGAAGAAATACTGGCATGTAAACTCACTGAATCTTACAGTACCCTCTGCTAGCCACTGCTGGTGCTCTAGTGGCATTTACATTTGGGATCAGAGAATGCCTGCAGATAGAGAAGACACATTATAAACACACACTTTAAACCACACTGAACTCTGTGGGCCTTATTTCTCAGTAGAAATGCATCGGATTGCAGTGTCAGTTGTAAATTTATTAAAATGTATACAGAATTCCAGCAACCTCAATGCAAAGTCCTGGCATTGTGGAAACTCCCATCCCTTAACTAATAATGCTTAACCTCCTGTAGAAACAAAACCAAAACTAACACACCTTCTTTTCTTGTTATCCTTGGCTTTTGTCTTTGCTCCTGTACCTTGTCTCTGTCTCCTCTTCTGTTGAAACTTAGTTAGAGCATCAGGGTCCTGACTATTACTAGTCCATCTAAGCCAGTTACATTTGCTTTAGCAGAAGCTCTGCAAGACAGATTTCTTCATCTGCAACTTGGGTTCTTTTTTAATGAAGTGCAGTGAGCTTTGTCCTTCCCTAAAAATGATGCAGCCTTCTGGAAAGAATTTGCCTCTTAATTAATTAAACTGGGGGGAAAGCCTAACAACTTTCTTTAAGTTGTAAACATTAACCTGAATAGTCCTTATAGCTTATGACCAGTTCCAAGTCTCTTTGACTTGTTGCATATAATTCTGTATTTCAGAGCAGATGACTTACATGGTCAGTATTTCTGAAAGTCAGGCCATTTTGTCATTAGAAGAGTGTCTGCTGAAAGTTCCTAACCAGTAAGACAGTAACTTTTCTCAGAGGTCCATATTGAATGATTCTTCATAAGTCTTATCAAACTGACAATGTTAGGTAGAAGCAACTTCGTTAAAAATAATGGGTTTTTTTCTGTTTGTTCCCCACTCTTTCTATTTTGCTTGTAAAGATCCATATCCAGAGAACAGAAGGGTGTGACCACATGACTTGCTCACAGTGTAATACTAATTTCTGTTACCGCTGCGGGGAAAGATACCGGCAACTCCGTTTCTTTGGAGATCACACGTCAAACCTCAGTATATTTGGATGCAAATACCGCTACCTCCCTGAGAGACCACATTTAAGGAGATTAGTGAGAGGCTCTGTCTGTGGTGAGTGGATAACAAAACCTTGCAGAGAAATATACCTGAAGTGATTGTTGTTGATTCATACATTGGAAATCCTTTAAAAATAATCACATTGCAAATAATCAGTCTGAACTGTAGTGTAATCTTCACAGGTTGAATTGAGTTAGTAAAGATACTTCATCAAAATAGAAGGTGCAATTGTTTAACAAGTATCGTCCCACTGTTGACAACATATGAAATTTGTCTTAGTTAAAGTTCTTACTAAACTGCATTTGTTGTCCTAGAGGACATACAGTCAATTGTCCAAAGGAGATTTGTACTTTATATCAGATGTAGAGTTAGATGTTGCTAGTAGGAATTGCTTTTGAGGCAAACAGAAATTGCCACAGAACCTCCCAGCTTACAGCTAGTGACCAAAACACCCATGAATGGCTTCTACACTGAGTTGGTCCATTTGTGTACAGAGTTAACAACCTTGTGCGTGATGCTGTGGTGGGTGTGGTAATGGTATGCTAAGTGTACATGGTAATCCATTGAATCTGTGTAGTGAGTGTATCTGTACGTGATAGGTACAGGCCAGTGCATAGGTTGCATTACACAGGCAAAGTGCTTTACCCATGATGGCTCTCATGTCTGTTTGGGGCTTGGTTTCCAGTGCAAGTTGTCCCTTTACAATATTTAACCATTGTAACAACTGAGTATATTCAGTGTAGCTGGTAAGGAGTCTTACCTGTTGCAGTTCATAGGGAAGCCTGTGAGTTAGTTTTTCAAATGTAAATTGTGTCTAGTCTAAAAGAAGTAACAAGCAAACTGTGGGCCTTTGCTCTTTATTTTTATCTCTTTTTTTACGGTACTTTTAAACTGCCCAGGAACCAAAGTTCTCTGTGATCTTTGTGACCTCTTTTATCTCATTTTCTTTTTTTTCTCTGAATAAGTCAGTAAGTAACTATCTAATCCATGATGGGTCTGTTAGGGAAAACTTGTTAGGAAATACAGCATGCAGGTGCAGTCAAGCACTGGTGCCTAACTCTTGTGTTCTGATAACCACAGCTAACTACATGCAGCGTGTGTATATAAGTAGACCAGTACATTTTCATGTGGGATAGGCACTCTTGTTGACCTATTTGTGAGACTGCTTTCCAGACCATCAATAATGTAATGCCAAGTGATTCACAGTGGCTGAATTGTCAGGTTGGATAGAGTATAAATCAGGCACACAAAAGCTTTAAAAACTTGAAAGCTAGTATTTTGTGCAGTTATATGGATGACTATCTGCCTGCCGGGTGGAACTTAGGAACATGTATTTGGTGTGCTCAGCTCCTTTCTGGCTCTCAGAATGAGTTTGTACTCTTTGTAAAAGTTGTTGACCTGGAGATACTGATGTGTGCAAATAAAACCTTCAAGTGTATTATAAGTGGTTCCCTCAAGCCCTGGCTGTGGGCGAGAGTGTTGTTTTTTGATTTCCAAGAAATGATGAGTTAGCTCCATGGTTTGCTTGCAAGGAGACATTTATTGTTGCATGAATCTAAACTTTAGATTCTAAAGCCTAGCTCCAGTCGAAAGCCTAGCTCCAGTCTTTAGCTGCCAGTCAATTCACTTACACTGCACTGCTAGGTTGGTTCCAGTCTGCTAGAATGGACCATCAGTGGAGCCTCTTGGAAATGTCCAAACAAAAGCACAAAAGAAAATGGCTGGCTAATATAGCTTACATGGTTGTACAGCAATTATACAGTAAGCATAGCTCAAAGCATATGTGACATGATTGCACTGATTAATAGAGCAGCATAGACACTGACTGTTTATTCAGGTCCTACAAAATAATTGGGTAGCGTTAAATATGTAGGAAGTAGCCCTTTCTGGTCAACTCAGGACTGTGACTCATTCGCTGGAGGGTACCAGGTGATAGAGTGTATCAGCTAACACATTTATAGCGTCTTGCTAACAGCACTATTGTCAGTCATCCTTTGCCCCATCTGTCAGGTCAAGATGGTCTCTCTAGGTTTCAAAAGCATGCAGCTGTGGCCCTGTGGTTATAACTGAGGTTAAACATTATTACTTAATATAACCAGGTCAGCTGGAGTTTGCTCATGCCAAGCAAGGCATTTTGGGGTACGAGCCCAACACAGTGGGGTCTTCATGAAAACTCTTTTACTATGAGAGAGAAAGATGGTTTCAGAGCTTGGGGGCATCCCACCAGTGAACCCAGAATTAATCCTTGGAATAGGATGGGCAACTTGTGGCCCTCCATATGTTTTCTCCTTCAGCTCCCATCTTGCCTCTCCCATTGGTTATACTGGCGAGGGCTGATAGCATTTGTTGGTGAAAAACATCTCGAAGGCCATATGGTACCCACTCATGTCTTAGAAGGGACTCCTCTCTTTAGAAGTTCTTAAGTTCAAAGCAAGCTTGTTCCTTCATATCTCCATGAAGCATGAGGAGCTTTGCAGTCTGAATTTGTTAGGCACATTGCCTTAAAGAAAGCAATTTGCCATGGAATAGATGGAATGCAAATTCAAATTATCGTTTCCTGTGTGCCATTCAGAGCACAGTAATCATCAGGAAAGAACTTAAGGGGGGGGAGGATTTCCAGATAATGTTGCTATGTTCCATGCCTGTGGGCACGGGCATGGCTTTTGTACAATGCTTTGTCCCGTACATGGTAATACATATTAAATATGAAGAGTACAAGTATGAAAGGAAAAGATGGCTGAGGGTACTAAGGAGCTAAGTCATGCTGATCGTGACACAAGGTCTGACAGGTTTTAGGAAAGAGTCTTGATATGTGCAGCTTGGGTTACTCCAGCAAATAATGGAACAAGTAGCTGCTGCTGCAGTTTTAATTACATTTATTTTCTAGTGGGCTGATCCAGCAGCTCTTGAATCTGTTAACTCAATAAAATATATAATGAATGTGCTAACTCTTCCCTTATATAATTACTTCAGTGTTAATTAAATTATCAATGGAAGCTGCATTTCCTAGATATAACACTGCTATTGTTTATAAAACATAGAATGGAGCAGCTTTTTGGTAGGTTATGAAAAGGAAACCTACATTTTAACTATGTGATCCTGCTTCTGCCGTATTTTCTTCTTGAAAACTGTGGTCACTTAGCTTAGCAGGGAACACAGCTCAAGAAAGCTCTGGTTTTGAAAGCTCTCAGTCAAACAGCAAGGTAAGCTCTCACTTAGCTTGCTTTCAGTCAGTTGGTTTGGGAGCTCATGAAGTTCTTCCAAACTTGGGCATGGCTTGGCAAGGATTGCAAATCCCACTGATCGTTTGGAAACCAGAAAAATGCAGTTTTCTTAAATGCATTAAGTTGTTAAAAGCAGCATCTGAATCCAATCAAGGGAATTAAATAATGGAACTCATGCTGCTTAATAGATGTATAATTATGTACCACATACACAGATAAACAAGACATGGAATACACTTCTTAATTTTTGTAGTGTTCCCACCACACACACGCACACACACAATTGCACTAAAAAAACTAATTTTAACTGCTACCTTCACTGCTAAGAAATTTATCAAAACTAGAAGTGGGCATGTAGATGTATGTGCAGGAATCCTGTTATGAGCAATACAGCATATGTGACTGAATTTTGTCAGTTGCTCTTCTCTTTAGAATATGCAACCTATTATATAACTGGTGCTGGGACTACTGAAAACATACATTTTGAAACTAATATATCAGATTCAGTTTAAATAGTAGATATTTTCTGAAATTCGCACAAAGCTAGTGGATTTTGAATTGGAAGTACCTTTTGGACCTGTGATTGGTATTGTATTTTGTGAGAAATGTAAGAACTGCCTTCTTGAATTGAAAAAAAAAACAATGTAAACAAAGTCAAGGTACAATAGAATTTTAGTGGGGTTTTCACAAAAACTTTTAGGCTTCCCTTTGTTAACTAAATATTTGGTGAACATATCCGAGTGTGAGAGAACAGTTAGATGCAGAAAATGACAACATCAAATTACTTCTTCCACTTTTTTTCTGAAACTGTTCTTATTCAATTTGAAAGAAAAGAAATTGCTTTCAAAATGAAATTCAAAGCAAAAGAATATTTGGAAGAACTCACTTCATTTGGGTTCAGGGTTCTTGTCTTGATCTTACAGGAAACTGAAGTGTGTGTTTCCCCCCTCTTTTATTGTTCAGTCTCTGGGAGACTGTAGTATTCTTGGCCTACTTTACTGAAACACATAAGAGTCATCCTAGATTAGACCAAGCATCCATCTACTCATCCAGCTCATAGAGTTTCTACAGTGGCCAGCCTGCTGCCCATGGAAAACCTCAAGCAGGTCATGAGAGTAAGAGGATCCTCCTGTCCATGTTCCTCAGCAACTGGTGTACCTAGGCATAGAGCCTGTTGTATTAGAGGTAGCATATAGCCATCATAATTAGTAGCAATTGGATAGCTTTCTGTTCCATGAGTTTGTGGATGGTATAAAATTGCAATCAATCAATAAAGTTCAACTATGCAATATGTGAAGAAGTGTTTTTAATCAGTCCTGATCTTAGGTTCTAGTATTATTCGAAAGGGAGACATTTTTCTCCTCTTCCGTTTTTTCCACACCATATGCTGAGAAGCCTGGTCCAGCCCCACAAAATTAGAGGATCTTGTCATGAAGAGGTTATCTACTGGCCATCCCCTTTCCCAAACAAAGATCGCTTACAGCTTTGCTTACCCTTGACAGTTTGCCTTTTGACAGCTGCTTGGGAGGCAAAGAAAGTAACCAGTAGCTCTATTTGAGGTTTCTCTGGGTCAGCATCCATAATTGGTACCTCCTGCACTTTGACAGCTTATATCTCCCAAGACATTGCCCAAGTGAGACTTCTCATTTTGGATCTGTACAAGTGTGCACTTCCCTACTTGTGCAAGTCCAACCAAAGCTTTCTTTAAAATTACAAAAATATTTGTTTACATCAGGGGCACTTTTTTGAAAGACAGTGAACCAGTGACAGCTCCATTAATATGCCACTTGGGCACTTTAAAGGTTCTGTCACAGGCTGTCAACTTAGGGATCTCAGAGAATGTTCTCTCAAATCAAAAAAAAGTAGAAGCTGCAGTGAGCGAGAAAGGAACACCAAGCCAATAATCATTGCTTCACTGTGCCACATGGGCATAGATGAGAGGGCTGGCAGAGGCTTGGGTGAGATCAGCAAGAATGGCAAGGATTTTTGTCACTCTCGCCAAGCAACTTGCTTATTGTTTCGCTGTGTCCATGGTGGAGTTGGTTGCCGAGGTTCAGATGATGCAACAACTTATTGTGGATACAGCAATTACTAGCGCAAGTCATGGGCTGTCAAAGTGTCTTGTTACCCTCAAACATGCCACTCTATCAGAATTGCTGTGTTGTAACTCACAAGTTGTCATGCATGTAAACCTGGCCACTAAAGGACTAAGTGGAACTGCTACCATCAGATTATTGTTTAGAGCAACTTAGCGTTTAATGAAGTAGATAGAAGCAGGGTCTGATTTTTAAAACAAAGGGAATTGCAGAGGGGGGGTCCTCTCCCTTCCTCTCCCTTTCCCGACACAGACACGCATGGGCAGTGTGTCATATCTCTTGTGGACCTTTTCTTCTACCTTGTTTTTGTATTTTCCACAAATAGTGACAGTGAAGTGCTTTCAAGATGGCAGAAGATAAGCGATGTTCAAAAAATAAAGTAGTATCAGGGTAAGGGTAGTTGATGTGAATTTCCAATATTGTGCAGTTAAGTAGATTTTGTGAGTATAAAAATTGTCACCATAAAAAGTCTGTTTGCAGTGTCATCAAGTTATCATTAGAATGCAGTCTATCCATCTGTACTGTGAAAATTATTGACAAGAGGCAGAAGAAGACAGAAGATTCTGTTAAGGAAAGAAACCCAATACATTTGTTTTACCATAGAACCTTTAAATAGAAATCTGAAATTAAGGGAGGAAGGTACTGTGTTCTTGTGTGTGTGTGGCCTGTTTGTTCACATGCATCAGAAGTGGTTTTCATAATTTTATGCATGAATTTATTGAATATGAATTTAAAATCAGTACATATTTTAGCTGACTCCTGAAATAACTGTAAATATAACTCATCTCTGAAAATTTGTAAATCCACTCTGGAATAGACAAACACAAGTTTAGATAATGTTTTCCCTATCCCATCCCTGGGATAACTGAGATGGGCATTGGCATCATGCATTTTACACCCCTCTATGAGTCTCTCTTTCCTCCTTCAGGGAGAGGTGAAAACCTCACCTGGATGATTTCATATTCAGATAACAGTAGCGTCTCATAAAGACCTGATTATGCACTATGTCGATAGTCTCGTTTATAGCCACACCAGGGTTTTTCTGTTACCTAACTATAGGCAGGGAGTAGTTTCCATTGGGACTACAGCACAGGTTGAGGTTGAGGTTTCCTCCAGTCCATGATCCTGACTCTTCTCTTCATCTGTTGTAGTTACACTTAATTTAAAAACAAAGAACAAAAACCACCATCCAGGTTCCTGCCATTAGTGAGGGGTGTTAAAATGTATGGGAAACAAAAATGTTAACATGTGTAGTTTTCTGTAAAACATGGTGGGGCTGTTCATACAACATGGCAGTACAGGGCACTATGGATCCCGTACAGAGACCGAAGAACATGTGCAGCCGACAATTTGAATATCTAATCCCTGCTTGGGCTTTGTGACACTATGTGAACCTGGTGAGCAGAAGACTGAACAACCCTTGCATAAGTCATGGTTGGTTTCAACCCTTGTATAATCAACAGTCACCAGGTTTACATGAATAGGAGGAGCTGGATATCAAATGATGACCCAACCGGACTCCATTCAGTGTCTTAAGGCTGTTTACTTTGCACCCATCCCTTGTGCAAGTAAAACAGCATTATTTGACATCTTAGTTTTTCTTTTTCTTTTCAGGTGGGAAGTTGCTTATTGCACCACTGATACTGGTTTTGGGACTGGTAATAGGAGCCATAGCTGTTATAATAGGTAAGATTAAATTGTGTGTTCCCAATTATATATTTCATGATTTAGCATGTTAAAGTGCAGTGTCTCTCTAATTCAAAAAATCTATCAGATAATTTTCCCCAAGAAATTGCTAGTACTGTCTCCTTCCGGGTACTTTTGCCAGTGGGCTGGTAGTACTTAAGACAGATGCATTTTTTTTGTAAGCCGTCCAGAGACTTTTAGTATTGGGACAACATATAAAAACTTTATTTAGTATTATTTCAAGCAAGCAATCAGAGGCCTAATGTATACATACAGGGTGGGCCAAAAGTAGGTATACAGTACTGATTGGGTCATGGAGGACCTCACATAGAGGACAAATTGAAGGAGTTCTCGCAAGCACTTATCACCATTGTGTTTCGGTGTCTGGGACAGATTCTAGGAATGTTGCAGCATTTATTGGGGGACATTTTGAGCATCTAAGGAACTGAACATGACTCAATCAGCTCAATCAGTACTGTATACCTAGTTTTGCTCTCCTCTCCTCCCTGGTATATAACAAGATTTTTGTTTGCTTTCTGAATCTTGTGATTTTGAAGTTTTAGATATTCTATTATTGAGATTTTTTTTAGTTGATTCTTAAAGAAAAGACTAATACTATGAGAGCACACTGCTTAACATTCAACTTTCAGGGTAATATCCTTACAAACAATATTATAAAAATGTTCTTCCTGTTAGAACTCTGGGTTCTAACCTTTTTTCTGCATGACAGATTTATTGAAATTGCTAGTTAAACTAAACCATTTCAAAGTTTCTGTCTGTGCTTTTGATGCACTGTGATTACTTCTAATGTCTGACTTGACTGGATATTCTGAAAGAAATATTAGCAGTAACTTTTATAATTAGAAATAGGAGAAGTGTCATTGCTGTTCCATCTCAGATTTCTTTTGAGGTTCATTTGGTTTATAAGAACCAGTGACCAGCATAGACCTAGTTCTGTGCACAGAAGAACTGTGCATAGTCAAGTACATATCTTTTAATGCAATGTATTTCCCCTTGTTTTTGACAGGTTTATTTGTGTTTCCTATCTATTGCCTTTGTAAAAAGAAGAGGAAAAGGCCACGAACAGAAATGCCCTGGTACGAATGAACAGTTGTATATCTGAATGGAGCTGGTTCTACAAGGCTTATGCAAAATATGTGCAGCACAGCAATATTGTGCTGGTTAATTGTGCTAAAGCCACAGCCCTGACAGAGAATTGCGGGGAATCTGCCACATTCCTTCTGCACAGAATACTACTAATGACAAGCCAGAAAGCTTCCTTGCTCTGGTGCCTCAGACAAAATGCATACCTACTGTTGAGCCAATGAAAGGAACTTTTAGTTTGGCACTACATTTTTTCTGTTTCTGACATAATTCTGGGGCCTTACGGAGGAAAGGTCTGGATGCGGTTTAAGTAAAGATGGCTTGTTTTGTGCTACAGGCTGGCTCCATGCACAGTTGGTTAACAGTATTCTGTCTGACATGACTGGCATACTGCCAGGCCCTAGAATTCTGTAGTTTGTTATTTTATGTAAGCAACTTTGCCCATGAATATTGAATCATGTGTGTGTTAGTATCTACTGTTGTCAAATTCCCAGTAACTTCAAGAGAATAGGATGGGAAATTATTAGAACATTATACATTTCAATTAGTTCTGAATTGATTGAGATATTAACCTTGATCTTTGGGAGATCCATTTCAGTGTTTTTGAACTGTGCAAGCTGTTCAGTAAAACAAATTTAACTCCATTTAACTCAGAAACATTGAAATAAATTGGGGGAAGAGGTTGTCCTTTATGGTTGTCTCTGAAATCTGACATACAAGCAGACAAACACGTATATTGCATTTCATGTATGTGCTTTGGGCCAATCATGCAAACCTGTGTGATATCTAGAAAACCATATATCTTTCTGTACTTAGAGTGTTCAGCACTGTGAATCGGGGAAAATGGCAATTATTCTGAGGCAATCCAGAAAGGGACTCTTGCCGCAAAACTGCATCAGTGCATGTCCAAAGCTATGAAGGTCCATCATTCACCACTGGCTCCTTAATGTAAGGCCAGTTGAGGCATAGACCAGTGAAAACATTCTTCGCTTGGTGGGTAACAATATTTCTGAACTTTAGAAATATAATCCATGTGAATTAGATTAATGAGAGTCCTGATTTGCCCAATAGTCATTTTTCTTTTTTAAAAGGCTTAGAAGGATTGTGGATATTGGAATGGAATGGCGTGTGTGTGTGTTACACTAAATATCTGAATTGGCCCATTTATGTATACATATTGTATAGTAGCAGTTGACTTAAAATATCAACTGTGAAATGTTTGGCTTTTTAAACAATTATTCAATCCAGTAAAACTCATGACATGTTTTTGAGGCCAGGGAAAGGTTACCTAGAAGATTGATTATATTTTGTTCTTGGGGGCAGTTTGACTATTAATTTAATAACATGCTGGAGTTAATAAGTGAGATACATGCAACTAATTGATTTGAACTTAAGAATAAGGAGAATGAAGGAGAAGATGTTTTAAATTTCTGTTGTCCTGTTACACTAATGCTAACATAGAGAAAATTGGGGAAAAGAAAAATCATGCTAAGAAATTATCAAAAAAATGAATTAGAAAAATGATGATTTTTTTCAGTGATTGGAAATGTTGGTGGATAGAAGATAAAATTTGCCAGTTCCCCCCATCCAGCAGCCTTTGGACTATCTCCTGTGCTGTTTTGGAAGGCCTGCCAGCCTTCCAGAGCAGCTAGAATATGGGGGAATAAGCAAAATTCCCCCTTTTCATTAATGGGTGCCAGGAGCATTCTTTCCATGAGAAGATCCCACAAACAGGGCTCTGCAGATCCAGCTAAATGTGTGGACAGACTTCTTGTGAGTTATGTGCTAAAGATTTAAAAATAAAAAAACTAGATATTGCTAAAAAGAGTAATGAAGTATTTTGTAAGTCTTATGTTCTGTGTTCTTCCATTTGTTTTGAAATGAATAGACTCCATAAATAGCACAGAAATGCAATATTGGGTTATTTGGTGTACATTATACTTTAAAATTTAACAGTACTTCATTACTGAAGCAGTTTATTTATCAATAGAGAATTAATCCAAGTGCATCGTACAGGTTATTTCTTGGATCTCAAAGCCTTAGCTGAATTTAATAAAGGATGTTACTTTTCTGCCAATGTGTCTGCCATGTGCTAGCACGGCTCAGCTTGCTATTTAAAATCCCAACAATACCCAAACTTGCCACCAACTTTTGATCAACTAATATTAGACTCCTTTTGGTAAATATCAGAACACCACTTACTAAAGAGACTAATTAAAATTTAATCATAATTTCAAATTGAGGTTGTTAGGATCTTTATAAACTATTGGTTGGATCCAGATCTAGGCATGCTTACAGTAGACCCATGAAATCAATGAGCTAGTTTAGTCATTACTAATTTGTTCTCATTGATCTTAGAGGTTTCACTTCAATTATGACCAAACCTGGATCCAACCATATGCTACTGCAAATATGTTTGGTTGTTTAATTTGTTTCTTATTTATTTAGTTGTGTCTCCAAGTGGATTGCTGCCTTAAACCTTTTAAAAGATTGTATACTTTTACCTAGCCCCAGATAATTGTGTTTTCTCAGGCCAAACTTGTGTATTGTCTTTGGTTTACTCAGGGATTTAGTCCATCATTATAGTGTCAAATATTGTTGTGAAGAAACTTTTCTAATATTTAAAAAAAAATTCAAACATCAGAGCTATATCATGAGATTTGGTGTCTTTCAGGATACATTAAAGCAATGTCGAGGCCTCTGTTTAATTTCAGTGTAGACTTGATCTTTTCCCATAATGTTTCCACATTTATTTGTTGTCCCGTTGCCCATTTGAAATAAATTTCTTCCAGTTTGTAATTCTCAGACTTGTCCAATGATCTTCATGTGCAACAGCAAGTTATCTGCAGGGAATTACCTGCTGTATCAGCTAACTCAAAGTCACCTATCAAAGGAGGATTGATTTCACACACATCCATGCATACACAACTCCCCACTGTCCAGCAGGACATTTGAATCATCAGACCGGACATGGCCAATTGTTTCAGTAGTGTGTGTGCAAAAAATGAGAGTGCCACACTATACTCCTGATTGATGCCAGCTTTCTCGGTCATGTAGCACTTCTTTGTGCTTATGGGACCACATCCTTTGAAAGTCTGCTCATGGAAACTTACAGAAGTGGATCCCCCTTGGTAGATAAAGATGCATATGCTTTTCTTTGCTTTTTTTAATGTGAAACGTTTGAGATAACTCGGGGTGTTAACCTCACATCTTAAAAGGATTTCTATATTAGGATAAATGAAAAAATATGCATGTGTTTTTTATATACAAGGATGATATAAAATCATAGATATTATTATGGCTCCCCAAAATAAGTTTGTATTCATGCTGTTCATTAACGCAAAGCATGCCATTTTAAGACTTACATTAAATTCCTGTCAAATGCACATGTTGTAGTAGTGCATTTAATACAAGTATGCAGATTTTGCTAATTTGGTGTCACCTGAACAAATAGTTTATATTACTTTATTTTCCCAATAAGTTGGTATAAACCAAGGAAGTGCATTAAAATCCTGGTTTGCTGTCCCTGTTTTGTGTTTTCTTAATGATTCAAAAGCAATTACTCTTAAGCTAACTTTAGCAATACACCAATAAACACATTCACTTAACCAGTATAATGATTGATGATGAACAATGTCCTAAAATTAGGATAAAATTGTCTGGTTAAAGAAAAATCTTAACCGTTTATTGAATGTTGCAAGCCATGCTTTGATATGCCTTATACAGCTTGAATCCTGACAAAAAGTTACTCTAGTTTAAATGAGTCTTGCCCCTATGTCTGTGACCATACCTCATTCACAGTAAGGGAGTATCATCCCTTTTTTCATAAACGTTTATTTGCTATACAGTGTACTTCGTCAGAATGAAACAGAATTGAAATATCATTTAAACAGTTTCATGATCTCCTTTTATATAGAATTCTCATTTCCTTTTATTAATTAAACTAAACAAAATAAGACAGCTAATATAAGCTGCCCAGAGAACCTTCAGGTTATGGGAAGGCATAGAAATGGAATAAAATAAAATAAAATAAAATAATTGTCTTGCTACACATCTGCATATTTCAGTCCTAGGACTAAGCCATGAGTCATAAGTCATGATTCCCAGGAATGTTTGATGGCATACCCTTGTTTTTCAGCATATGCAAATGTTTTGGAAATACACAGTAATTTTATTTGAATTACAAGTAGATCACGGTAGGTTGTCATTCTTGTCTTGAGGTAGAATTACTGACATTCACAGATGAATGGGTTTGATTTTAATACCTAGGAAGACCTTTAATTATAAGAAACTATTATACCACTTCTGGAAACCTTCAGTAAATTAAGTGACTTGTAAAAATCTAATGGCTGCAACAAATCATAGCCCTTGGATATAGTTTCTCATTATTTAAAATTTCCTAGTATTCTCTCTGTCAAGCCATTTAGGGTATTTCTTTTAATGTTCCAGCTGCTTTAATAATGGATGGCTGTAATCAAGGTAAGAATGCTCTTCCATGCTGTGGAAAAAAATCTGTGCCAGGGCACACCATGAATTATAAGGAACATGACATGTCTCGGGGGCCGGGGAGGGAGCAAATTATCTGGAGCAATACTCCCCATCTCTTAAGAGATTGTTAGATATTTTGCTTCAGAGACAGAGACAGCTGCTCTGAGGCTTTCAGTCTTTGTGACAAATGCAGAGCAACTGTGGAGTAAACTTTTGTTTGTTGAAGTCATTCTATGAAATCTCATGTAACTTCCAGTTTAAAGGTCTGTTTCTTTGCCATGGTCACTTTGCCTTGCAGCCAGACATCCCATTCCATGTCTGAAAGAAGGGTGTGTGTTGCCCTTCTGGATTGGCCTCATATTGTCAAAGAGATGCTCTGTAAAGGGGCAGAGTCCTGCATTCTACAGTGTCTTCAGATCTGACAGCGCTGGTCTTGCTCTGTGTGCATGTATGTGCACACATTTAATTCAAGATTTCCTTTCCCTCTAGCAGATGGTCAGCTCTTCCCAAAGTGTCACTGCCTTTATGTTTGCAGGGTAGAGCCTTGTTGTAGCCTTTCATGGGACAGTGGAATCTTAGAGTCAGGGCTATACAGTTTCACAAAGTGTAGACTGCTTAATGTTTACTGGATGCCTTGAATGTTCACCTGTACTTGCTGTCATCTGTCATCTTCAGAGGTTTCACAGAAAAAGATGAACTTGTATTTTGTTCTGTGTGTCATCCTTAGATCAAATGATTTGATGTATTGCCAACTTTATGTAACGTCTTCATAATATCAATTTCAGTTTCTGTAATGTGTCTAAAGAAAGTGTACTTGAATCCCGATTGTGTGAGAGGACAAGGCTTTTTATTTATTTAAAACATAGTAGGACATAGTGGAAAAACTACATTTGGAGCTGATGTACAAAATGTATTTAATTATACAACGTCATTAGGACAACAGAAGTGATTTCTGAAGAGGGTTAATGGAGTGATGTATGCAAAATAAAGACTGGATGATATACTTCCTGTGGAAAAGCCAAAATAATAATAAAAAAAAACCCTTCTGTGTTATTTCAGAATTGGCCTTTTATTTTCTCTTTCTGTGATCTTCTGTTAACAGTTTGTATTACAGAGTTAAAATTCAGTGGATTAGTTCAGTACAGTTCCAAAGTGCTCCATGGATAATAGGAGGCAGTAGACTTCCACACCAGCTGATCTTTGCCTGCCCCGGCTGTAGCTCACTGCATGGAACACTCTTCTGGGGGATTCCTCAAACTCAGGAATTTTACAGGGCTACTAGGGGGCTGCTATAGGAAATGAGGGAAGTAAGGAGAAAAAAGCCCTGATACATGTACAAGGAAGGGGTTGTAGTTGTAGTTATTTACATCTAAGCCAATGTCTTGTAGAAGTACTGGATGTGTAGATTTTCTTTAAAAATTAGGATTTCTTTGAGATTTGCAAATATTCCACCCATGTGATCAGAATCCTGCTGGAATGAATATAAAATAAAAGGCACATTTGGTTATCAAGTTGATTTGAATGCAAACTCTGAGGCAGCTGAAAAGCACTGCTCTTCTGTACACAAGCACTCTTGATCCCCCACCCTCACCCCACAGTGCAATAAAGCACAGTATCTGTGCTTATGTAGGAAAATGTCTTATGGACTGTCACAGAGTCTCATAACAATTTCAGTGATTGCTAGAGAACTTTTTCCATCTGCCACAGTAAGGATTAAATTAAGTGTCTATGTCAAATGTTTGCATATATGACGTGTTTCAAAGTCTTGCATAGTTTATTCTGAAGTATTTTTAGGGCAGTATCCTACTGCACTGCAACTGCCAACAAAAGAGCATTGCTTGGCTCTAGGGGCCCACAGATTCTCAGGCCCAGGATCCAAGCACAGTGCTCTGTAAGTCCCCAGAAGGCCTGCCCCTTCCTTTGGCTCATTTTACCTTTAGCTCACCCACAACTGGGATGCAGCCTCTGAGAGCTTCTCCAATATGGAATTCAGGCCTTGGGCCAAAGTAAGTTTTGCATTAGTGTAATGGACCTGTAGCACAACAATAGTATTAGCTGGCATTATGTATTTTCTGGGGAATCCCATTGCACTACCTAGAGCTATCGATGTTACCATCTTAAGTTCTTTATGCTAACACAATGTAATTTGTTAGTGCTTATGTCACACTGGATACTACCCTAGAATAAGTGTGAGGTTAGTGGGATAGATTCAGAACTGCTTCACATCAAACTGTTTCAGAAGTCTTGTTATCCCTTATGGTAATAAGATTTTGAACAAGTGGCTTCTGACTATAGAAACACTTTGTCTTAATATCTCTTCTAAACATTGCCAGGAACTTCAATACTGTAGCTAATTTGTATACTGTGACACATCCCAGTGAGCAATCAAACAATTGTCAGAACATCTTGGTAGCCCCTCCCCCCTGCCCCCAAAGGTATATTTGTGATAAATTTCTTATCCTGTAAATTTTTCCAAAATCATGTTTTGTAAAGCTATCCTTACTATCAAGTTAATTTTGTAAAATCTTGTGTCTTCTATAACTGCTTCCAATTTAGAAACAAAACAATGTATCAGGTGCACATTGTGAATTACTTAAATTATTGGACGTAAATGTACTTCCTGGCCTTTTACTGGGCAACGATTCCTAATTTAAGAGTGGGTAGCAGGGATTCTAGTATGTTGAAAACTGGTTCTTTTGGCACGTGTTATGAGTATGTACCATTATCCTAGCAGCATTCTTCCGGTCTCCATGCATGCATGGTAACTGAAAATATCTATGCTTCTAAGCAATTATATATAATCTAAAGTCCAAAATTCATATTTCACTGTCCACTGAGTAGTGAAGATTCTATATACTAGGCTTCTCAGGTTTCTTTGGATTTCAGTACTAATTTTCTTTCAAAGTTCATAAGAATTGCCTTGCTGAGTCAAGCCAAGTTTCATCTAGTTGGGCATTCACTTTCCAATGATGCTTAGCCAGATGCCTTTGGAAACTCAGGCTGTTTATGGACCTGGTGGTCACTTCCTGATTGCCCCCAGCATGCAGTGGTTTGGTTCTGTAAACTGAGTTTACATTTAGCAGTTAATGATTGATAGTGATAGATAATAGCTGTCTAACTTTCACCATATTTTTGTCCATAATATTTTGGACAAAAGTTTGAAAGCCATCTGAGTGGGATGGTGTAAATTGGTGTCCTGCAGCAGAAGGGGGTTGGATCCAACAGCCTTCATGGCCCCTTCCAACTCTACTGTTCTATGAAAGTATTGAAGAAACATTTATTAATCTAGCTTCTTCTACATATTCAAGTTCATTGTAGGAGCTTGGTAGAAGTTTTCAGTAGTGTATTAGATGCAATATTTACTCAATACCTTTCCGAACATTTAGGCCATTATTCCAATGGCTGTTAATTTTGTTCTCGTTCATGTTATTTTGAACTTTGTAAGATTTGTCCATTCTTGTTCAACCAGTGCCTTTTGTGATGATGGCCTTTACACTGTTTTTCTTCTTTTTCTGTAGATGTGTACTGTATTAATATTGAGCTAAAGCATGTCCTGATTGATATAAATCTAATATCTTCATCGAATAAATAATAGCCCACATGTGTACATACATACAAAATAAAACGGGAAAATTCTCTTGCCAGTCTATGTCCTGCAGGACAGGACTTTTTGAAACTGAGTCACATTTTAGCAATTTGTTGCGGCACTTGGTTACTTCACTGTTGTTCAGTTACCAACAGTGTTGTGTAGTACATTTTGACTCTGAAAACCTAATGGCATATATGGAAAGCAGTTTCAGTGATGAAGTGTTATCAGATGAATATTTATAACTGCTGGTGGTAAAATTTGACAATCCAGGACTATATCATGTTTGGTGTTTTAGAATACAATCTTTTTAACCATTTCTTTTAATGTTTGTTTGTTCGTTTGTTTGATGAAGGGAAGACTTGTCATAATGACTCTGTAAAGTCTAAAAATTTTTTTAAATAGTTTGATTCAAAATCTGTGTGTCTTCGCGTGTTCAGTGTATGAAATTCACAAAGTTATAGTGTGTTTGTGTTGAGGGGGGCTATTGCATGTTAATGGATTGAAGTCTTGAATAGAAATGTCAATCTAATAAATGTCTAAAGAGAAAACACTGACTCATTTTTTTAAAAAAATAGATTTGTGTTAAACTTTTATGTTTAAGCCATCTTTGTCACATCCAGTGAGGTACACATACTTTCGATAGATTAAGGGAGGGGTGTTGAAGAGTAATCTGGGTGATCAAGGAACAACATGACTTAACCCTATTTACATACTAGCTGCTAACCAGGATTTAAAATTGGTTTCAATAAGTAGTCTATTTTAAAAAATGTATTCCCTAAATAATATGTTACATAATTTTGTTCCTTAAGAAAAGCACAGGTGGGAAGAACTCACACATGCAAATTCATGTTTTTATTCATAGGTTGGATGCATATAGCCCATGAATACATTGCAACATGACTCTGAATAATATAGTTCACAACAATCCAGAATGTTACTTGGAGAAGATGAAAATATGGTAAATTTTAGCAACAGATTACTTATGTTCTGTTTTAGTATTTCCCAAGTACCTGGGACTTTATTCAGATTAAAGCTGTATCAACTGTATTGATGAAAGTGGATTCTTCCAGCCCCAACAACTCCCTAAAATGCTAGATAAAAAGGAGATTTTGTTGAATGAGTTGAGTTTGGGAGCGGGGCTATTAGGGAGGTTCTACCTCTAAACCTTAACCAAATTTCAGGAGTTATCCCAACTCTGTAGATTTGGTTGAATAGATCCACTAAAACAGAATATATCATCATTTTTCTATTAACTTTAATATGTATGGGAAAACATAATCTAATATAGGAACTTTGCCCACCCTATTGCATTTCAAATTTGAGTTTTCTGTATTTTTCATCTAGTCATGTTCCAATATGATAAATTCTGATCTTTAAACAGCTGTTTATAATATTACATTATTATTGCTGTTATTTATAATGCTATCACTCTAAACTACAGTTCTATCTTTAACAGCAAGTATCTGATTCTAAGGTATGTTATTTCATCCAAAAATTTGGTATGTCAATTCTACTGCATTTAGGAACCTCAGGAATCTTCTCAGCAAGGCCTGGACTACTAGCCAAAAGTAATGAGCACTGATCTAGTTTGATGACATCTCCAAACACACACACATTTCAAAACGTGCGTTTGAGCACTACATTGTTGGACAGAAACCAACTTTGGTTTTAGCTGAATTACCCTAAAGGTTAAATTAGAATAAGATTGACCAGCATTGATTAATAAGCATAGGAAGACAGAAAAGCACCACTTTATCTAGACTTGACCTGTATGGGTGGGATGGGGTGGAGGAGAGAGAATTCTGTGCCACTTTTTTTGCTGTTATGCTTCTTAATCAAAGGAGTTTGAGACTTTCTGCCTTTCCTGGCATCTGATACACTTAATGAGGCTAGTTCAGTGGGAAACCAGGGCAATTCAAATCCCAAAGCATGGTGACGGAACAAAAAAACACCGGGTTAGCATCTGGTGAACTGTGCCATCTTATGCCTGCCTACTCATGTAGAGTTTAGTGCCATTTATTCCAAGATGAATGCATATTTGTATATGTTTGGGACAAAGACTTGGTTGCCCTGTACAATGATCTCTGAAAGGAGTGGGACAGGGAGTGCAACCCTGTTGATTCTTCCAGATTTCTTAGCAGCTTTCAACACCTTTGACCATGAAGTCCTTTCGGACATGTTGGCTGGATTAAGAGTTGGAGGCACTGTCCTGCACTGGTTCCATTCCTTCCTGGCTGAGCGTATCCAGAAGTGGGTGCTGGGGGATAGTTGCTCTGCCCATGGCAATTATGCCATAGGGTTCCGCAAGGCTTTATCCCATGCTTTTCAACATCTACATGAAACTGCTGGGAGTGGTCATCAGGGGGTTGGTCTGAGCTGTACCTCTCATTTACATCAAATCCAGGTGAGGCAATGTCTGTGCTGAACTTGTATCCAAGTTCAATAATAGACTGGATGAAGGCCAGTAAACTGAAACTCATCCCAGACAAGACTGAAGTACTGTTGGTTGATGATCTGTCTGACAGATTAGAGGGCCATTGTCCTGTCTTGGATAGTCACATTTCCCTTAAAAGACAGGCTAAGTAACTTGGGAGTGCTCCTCGACCCAAAACTTTCATTGGCATCTCAGGTGGACTCAGAGGCCAGGAGTGTCTTTTCCCACCTTTGGAACTTGGACAGTATAGACATATCACAAATAAAATAGGTCTGTTAGATACGTTTGTGCCACAGTTTGCCAGGAAGACATGAAGCACCTTTCTGCACCAGGCATTTGTTGCATGCTCATCATCACCAATGAATTGGGTCAAAGGAATGAATGAGAGGTCCTTCCTGCTGTTCTTCTAAGCCAAGGTCCCATTCCAGAAACTCAGGGGTTTGGGGATAGGGGCTTAACTTTGGTACTTTGCCCTTGTTTAGAAAACAAACCAATCTACCTTTGTTTGTTTAAGAGAGGCATAGGCAACCTAGTGCCTGCCAGATGTTTCAGACGACATCTTTGAACCACAATACCTGAATATTGACCATGCTGGCTGGGTCTGGGTTGTATTGTTCGGCGTGTTCAGGTTCGGTAGGTTGTAAAAAGAAGTTTGGCACTTGTATCCTGAGCGGGAATGCAGTAAGCAGCTCGGCTTAACTTAAGGCCGGGCTTAGTTCCCAGAATTAGGTGTAATGGGTCTGTCCCCCCCGCCCCCCGACTGGAATTAGAAGGGCAGAGCTTTCAGGTCGGCTTGAAGGTGACCCACGATTTGCTTTGTTGCCAAGAAGAGAAGAAAGCCTTCGGAGAGGCAGCTTGCTTGCTACAAGACGGGCTTGGAATGAAGCCCTTATTGCGGACACACCAATGAAGCCCTGAGCTGCCGGCGCTCCGTCCAATCCCACTGCTGCTTTCTAAAAGAGTGATCCGCCCACGAGGCAGCGGGCCAATCCAGTTTCCGTTCTGCTGCGAGCTGTTTCGCGGCTTCGGCTGGCAGGGAAGGCTGGCGGGGCTGTTTCCGGAGCCTGCAGGTGGTTGCTGTGGAAACTGGAGTAGCCTGGAGTTGGCTTTGTCCCCGGCAGAAGAGCTCAGCAGGCGCTCCGGAGAGGTGAGGCCATTCGGTGACTTCCTCTGGAGCACAGAGATCCAGAACTGCCTTTTTCGCGGACTAGCAGCCTTCCTCCGTCCCCCAATCCACCCCGTTCTTGTTCATCAGGGAGCCACCAGAAAAGTGGCCCAGATCAGCTCCCTGTGGGCAGTCAAGGGGACAGGCTGCGTCTGCTCCGTTCTTTTAATACTGGTCTAAATCTGGTGCCAAAAAAACTGTATTTTTTCAACCCTTATAAGTCGCTTTTGCATATGTTCGTTTATTGCCCCTACAATGCTGTGACAGAAGACAGGGTCCTACTTTGTGTCAGGAATGGTAGCGATGAGAAAGCCCTACTCTAGGCATCCGTTTTTCTTAGTTCTCCGTTGCCAGGGTGAATGAAGCGCACTTTAGTCATAATTCCACGTGCTAAACGGGAGTATGCCCTGATATAAGTCACTGTTTTAAGTTAATGTCAGCTGCCCCGTTTTCATCACGCTTGGCTTTATAAAGCGAATATTGCTTATTCTCAGATAAAAGCAATAGTCAATCCAATGTGTTGACACTGGTGTTAGGAAATAATAGTGGAATGAGGGAAATTGTGAGGGAACTGCTGGTGGATTTGGATCAGGTATTAAAATAGCTGCTCAGCTTTGAAGCTCATGGATGGCAGGCAAATGTCTCAGTCTAACTTACTTGTAAGGCAGTAAAATGGGTCAGTTCCATGTATGCCATTCTGAGAACCTGTTGGGAACAGAAACAGAAATTTTATTGAATCAGTGGGAAACCAGGGCAATTCAAAACTGTCAGCCATGCATCATAGCTCATGTGGGTCATTGCATTGTTTCCTGTCAGAATACTGAAATTTGATTGTATAAATCCAAGCCAAGGATGTAACAGATGTACTTGATGTAACAGAATTGTGTATACTGACATTTTTTTTATTTAATAGCCTTTAAAAAAAGAAGTTTGCTGTAATGAAATGTAAAAAGTAACTATCTAAAATGTAAAGCACCAACTTTTATGCAATCTGCTTTTTTCCAATGGAAAAAATGTTTTATAGTACAGTCTAGTATCCTCCAGTTATTTATTTCTATTCCACTCAATAGCCAAAAGATCTCTGTTACTTGGAGGTAAGCTCAATGGGGCTTATTTCTGAATAGCCATATATGGGATTGCACTTTTAGTCTTTTACTATACTTTGCAAAATAGCATGAATACACCTTGTTTAAATGTAGAATAATATTTTTAAGGGACACCAAGAATGTCTTATTTCATAATGAAACCATTATGCTAGTGCAATGTAGGGGTTAGAGTCAAACCTTGGAAGCCCATGTTCAAATCCCCACTCAACCATAAAGTGACTGAGTGACTTTGGGCCAGGCATTGTTACTCATTTTAATTTGCATATAGGGTTGTTGTGAGAATAAAAATGCTCTTAACACTGCCTTGAGAACTTTTCAGGTAAGTCATGACATAAATGTACTTAATAAATAAATAGTAATTACTGCCTGATAGGTGTGAATCGTGCCTTCTTCCCAGTTGCAGACACATTTTATATGGAAAGGCTCTGATTCCTGTATGAAAATGTAAGCTTTAGATAATGGAAATGGCATTATGCTCTTCTGTTTTCTTTTTTATTTATTAAAATTATTTCATGGTGCCTGGTTTCAAGTCATTTCAGCTACATTTTATTAGGTGAGAGGATCCGTAGTCATAAAGAGGCCAGGTGGTGCTGGAAACTGCTTGCCAAAACAACAGTTCATTCAATGCAGCTTTTCAATAAGGGCTTCAACTGTCTACTGTATTAAAGTAATTTTGTTGTTGCCCTTTTTCCATCCACTGTAATAACCTGAACAAAGTGTATCTTATATACCCATTGCACAACTGTGTTCATATGGACTATGAAAGTCTTTGTTGGTTAACTCCACATTGACTTCATACTCAGTTAACCCTTAATCTGCCGTTCTTGTTCATTTTCATTTTGTAAACATATGAATAGGTATATAGTAATGTTTCTTTGTGCTTCCCTCTAAGCATTATAGGGAAATAAATCCATTAGTTCTGGTAGAGTTTGTTTTTAGATAAATAAATTTAGGAAAGCACTTGAATTTAGGGAAGATTATCATATACATAGTTAGATTTATTTAAAATTGGCATCTGTAATACTCAGATGATTTATATGTAAAGTAATAAAATAAGATTTCATCCAAATGCAATTACTTAATTGTACTATATCTGGGCTCTGTTGGCATATTAATATATTTGAATTTTTACTTAACTGCAGAAGACTATCAGATATTTAGAAATTAACTCAAATATTTTATTGAAATACAGTCACTGGGCAGGTTCTGAAGACGTGCTAAGCCACCTTGAAAATAAGTTATGTAGAGTGGCTGTTCACAGAGCTACCCACCATGTGCCTAACAAAAGATTGGGTCCACAGAGGATTGTTCGCCCTCTCCCTCAGTCCTCCACTCCAGGTTCCTTCATGGCAGAATCAGGCTTGTCTACTTCTCCACTCCAATCATGACCACTTTGTGTTGGTCACCACCACTACTACTCCTACTTTTAATTTTCAGAGCCTCAAATATGTTCAGTTGGGATCGCTGCTGTTTTTCAGCCTCAAAAAATTGTGCAAATGTATTTGTAATTTGTTATAGCTGTTGTCTTGCAGAGGTATCCAAGCACTCTCTTACAGCTGTCCAAAATGGCCAGATTGATTTCCTTGTATGTTTCAGTTGTCAAAGGGAGACCCAAAGTGGAGCAAATGGAAATTGAAAAAGTTAGGCTGCATATAGGGTAAATTGTGCACAGTTGCCCAGGACCTGTACTAGAGCTACAAAAAGGAGCTGTGAAGAAGGCAGGGAGGAACCACTATTGCTTTTCTAGAATAGCCAGAGACTCAGAGAAGTATTGAAATGGTGGAGGATACCGAGTGGTGTCAATTCAGATGTACAATGAGGAATGCATGGTTCAACAGACTTGTGGACAACAGGTTAAATATGTGCTAATAATGCTATGCAGCTGTAAAAAGGGCAAATGCTATTTTGGGATGCATTAACAGAAGTGTTACTTCCAAATCACAAGAAGTAATAGTTCCTCATACTCTTAGTCATAATCTAGAATACTGTGTCCAGTCCTGGGCACCAAGATTTAAGAAAGATGCAGAAAAATTATAAAGGGTGCAGAGGAGGACAACAAAAAGGTATCCAGGGTTTGGAAACGTTGCCTTATGAGGAAAGACTGAGAGAGCTGGGTATATTCAACTTTGAGAAGAAAAGGCTGAAGAGGGACATGATATTACTTTATAAGTGCCTGAAAGACTGTCACAGAGGAAGGACAATCTCTTCTCACTCATACCAGAGTGTAGGACACAGAAGCTCACTTGGCAACAAACCAGATTCCATCTAGATATCAGGAAAAGTTTCCTCACTGTCAGAGCAGTACAACAGTGGAACCAGCTGCCTAGAGAGGCCATGGGCTTTCCCACACTAGAGACATTCAGTGTGAAACTGGACAGTCATCTGAATGGGATGGTGTAAATTGCTGTCCTGCAACAAGAGAGGGTTAGACCAATGAACTTCTTGGCCCCTTCAGACTCTAGTATTCTATGATTTTATGATTCCATGATTGAGTACTCAGAAGCAAGTGAGTCATTTTACCAAGAGCAAAATAATGTCTTCTCACCCCTTCTGGCTCACCTATTTTTGCCACTTTTTGTTGGGTGTAAGAAGGATGGTGGTCTTGGGCAATTGTTCACACAGCTACATTCCAGACAATTTGGAATTGGAAAGTGAAACATCTTTCAATGAGATTGGGGAAGATGGGCTAGATCAAGATTCTGAGACACAAGAGGAGGAGATCATCTCAAGGTTAGGCACTTCCCTGAACCAAGCAGTTCCTGGGAACAGCCAAGAAGTACATCCAACAGGAGGGGAGGGGTCTCTGAGGATGAGGAATTCTCAGGCACAGACCAAGATTTCCCATCAACCTCATGGCTAGGCATCAGCAGAGGCAGGAAGCCCAATTAAATGAGGAACATGCAGAGAGAAGGTGTGCTCACCTTCAGAGAGCCACTCTCGAGGCGATGGGGATCAGGCATGTTCATAAGGAGAGTTCCTGGAGGTAAACGCTGGATTGGGTTCAACAAGCCACTCTGGGCATGCTCAGAGATCCTTTCTGGAAGATTTGTACTTGGGAACAATAAATGACGTTGCAAGGAAAAGAGTCTGTGGCTGGTGATTGTTTGAAGGAGGAACCTCGGCTCCCAACACTTCCCCTTTTACAGAACTCTTCAACTGAAAATTTAGCAACTGGTCCCTAGAGCAGTGGTTCCCAAATTTTTTCAGTCATGGAATCTTTCTGAAGGCATTTTTTTTTCCTGTGGAATCCTAACTGTATCCCTGATTTTTATTAAGCATTGTGAACCCAAAACGTTCTTCCTTCTTTCATCTGCTCCTATTGCCTGCTTTGCATAACATAGTAGATTTCGAATAAAGAGAAAATATTTTCAATATAATGAATGAATAAAGTGATTATATGGTAATATCCCAAATGAGTTATTCAGTTCTTCCCAACACTATGCAGTAGAGCTCTAGGAACCAAATGACATGATGTATTTCCATGTTTGCTGCTTGGATATCAGCTGACAATCAAATAGTTGGCTTCATGTGGTTTCATTTTCAAATATGCTTTAAATTTGATTTTTGGGATATTTTGCAGAACCCCTACGAGACTTTTGTGGAAACCTAGGGAACACAGTTTGAGAACCGCTGCCCTAGAGCCTATGCTCAAATTATCCTATATGCTGTCTCACCTTGTCAATTTCCATGCATGTTACCTACTCTGCTTCACTGTTTCACCCTTTGATAGCTGAAACATGCAAGACTACACATAAGGGACTGTCGTAAAAGTGTACTTTGGCACATGTGAAAAGCCAACAAAAATAATAATTAAAATATTCACAAACATATTTGTTTAATTTTCTGCACTTTAAAAATATTTTTACATGTGGTAAACTAGTCAAGGTTGCGCCGAAGTGCTACTTGCAAAGACTGTTATTAGTGGTAACAAGGATGAAATCATGAAGAGCTGCAGGGATTTTTGTTGCTTTTGCCAAGTAGCTTACTAGAGGCAAACCTGACAACACACAGAAAAATGGTTCTCCTTCATTCAGATGACACAAGAACCCATGGTGGACTGAAAAACCTCTCGAAGCAACAGTGTGTCAGGGTGGTTTGATGCCAGAAGTTAAGTCACCCTGTGGGAAGTAGCTGGGGTTTAAACAACATGACAATTCACCATGGCTAGTTACCCATGATAGGTTGTTGTGTTGTGTGAACCAGGTCATTGTGACCTCAGTAGGTACCCTGACAGATATTGTTTGCATCCTTTGCATGTAGTAGATATTGTTCCTGAGTGATAAGGTTCCAATTGCCAATCCTAATAAACTGAACTGCCGTTGTATGATGTGAAGGAACTGGAAGACTGGATCTATAGAGTCCTTGAAACCGGGAAAGCTCTGATATGCACAAACTTCTAGGTGATAGAACATCCCCATTCATCAAATAGAGAGGTTCAAGGAAATAAATGGGAAACCACCACAGTTTAAACCTGCTAGCTGTGCCGCATAACTCATGCAGACCATAAGATCGAGTTGGCTGAGAAAACTAAATATGATTGTGTAAAATCTAGAATGAAAAAAACCTGTACTACACAATATATTGATTCTGCTGGATAATGAAATGTTTCACTTAAGGAAATTTAATTTGTTTGGTTTTAGAAATGGAGAATACATTTTCAAGCATAGAATCTGAGTACATCAAGAACCTCCAACAGCAAGTATACTTCCTTGAGCTGGAAGCCAATTTTCTATATCCTGCACAGTGCCATCTACAATCAAGTAAAAGATAATAGGAATGGGATACTGGAAAGAATACTTGGAAAGGAACATTAGAATAAAGTACTGTATTATTGTGGAATCTGTGGGAAGGATTCAATGGTGCCATTGTTTGCATCCTTTGCACACAACATAAAGCCAAATCACCACTTTCCCTTTGTGTAGGTGTTGGTTTATACAAGTACAATGACAGTAGCACTAGCATTGGGACACCACTGGATGCTATCCTGAGTGAAAACAGCTTGACTCTTTTCTGTATTAATGTTATTCAAATGAAACTATTAATGATGGGTACAACTCACTAAAATTGTATTTCATAGCTTTGGCCTTAACTTGTTGCTGTCACTCGTGAACAGGCTAAAAAAGCCACTAATCTTCAACCTCTCATTGCATCTGAAATGGAACATATGCTGCAAAAGTTACAGGTAATTTTTCTCTTTATCATTAGAAAAATAATGGCATAGCCAATACTTTGCATCCAAAATACTTGCTGCTTTACTTTTCATTTAAATGAGTGTGAAGAAACATTTTTGAGGATACTAAATTGGAGACTCCTAGCATATTGTTCATTTATGCTCATATAATTAGCAGCTTTTTGCAGGGATTTGAAAGTACAGATGCAGCATAGTATTAGATTCCTTGAGGTGACTCAGAGCAACAGTGACACTTCTGCAGCTTCTAGTAGCAGTTCTTTATCTTAAAACTGGCCAAATTCAGACTATTACAAAAGCTAAAAGAGCACTAATGAGAAGAACCAAGCAAGCCAGCAGGAGGACGATAGAATTAAATATGCAAGTATATTTTTCTTTTCTAACGCTAAAATACAATTTGCTATTTTAAAAGGCCCTGGAAATGGATTTCTTAGAATACTGAACATTCCTGTCTTTTCAAAATGTATTCTTTTTAATCATTAAACTGAAGCAAGCTTACTAAAGAGTATTTTTCTCCTCTCTCAGGAATTGCAGTCTCAGTCTGATGGCCTTCAGCTGGAGCTCAAGAGAAAGAAAAGTGGTTTGAACCTGCTGAAGATAGAGAGCCAGCGACTTGGTAATGAGATCAATGTGGCTAAAGGTAACATTTCATTCTATATAATTTCTGTGATTTGCATAAAAGCCATAGTGTTTTGTGGAGTTTTTTTTACCACAGCCATCATAATTTTTATTATGAAAAAATATTAGAATTTCTGATAGTTTTTAATTTCTGTAAACCATTAGAATTGAAGGGATTTGGCATAAGGTAGCAGTTGAAAGACAAAAGGCTACTGCTAAAGTAAGGCTAAGTTTTAGAAATTATAAACAGAGAAATCTTAAATTCATTTTCATATAACAAGGACTGCTGAGAATGAAGGGAACACTGGAATGAGCATGATTTCCTGGTTCTCTTCAGTGTTACGACTAGAATGAAAGAAAATGCTTAGCTGGTATATGCAATGCCTACTATTTACATGGTTTGCATATGGTTTATGGTTAACTTGAAAATGGAAAATTGTGTGGTTATAAGGGTGCGGAAGAAACACAGAAGTTACTTACTATGATGAAACAATTGTTTATTCCACAAAAGTAGTTAAAAACAGCAGTACACTTGCTCTTGCAGTGTAGGACTACTTAATGGGGTCACTTGAGAGGGTCAAGTGGCTGACAGGATGAGAGGATGAGGTCTGCTTTGCAGTAGGTGGAAAGAGTTGTTCAGTTCCTGCTTTTCATCCTGCAGGTGTTTCAGCTAAAGGGGAGCTATGTTGTTAGGAATCAAATAATCCAAAGAATAGTCCACGTAACTAAGGGAGAATGAAAACTTAATAAAAGTTAAGGTACTGTTGAAATCACTGAAGAATCCCTTTGCATATGTAGAAAGGACATACTGCCAGTCATTTCATAGTATGACTTGTTTTTTGCTTTGCATTACAGAAAAGTAGAAAAAGAGTAAAAAGAATTAAAATAAACAGAACTACACAGACTTCTAGTAAATCCTAATAATTACAATGGTGGAAAATTTAGTCTTGTTATAGATGTAGCAATCAGCAATCAATCATTTGTGGCAGTGTGGTGCAACCATGGGTTCATCATATCGCTTCTCACTTATCATTTAGCTGTTACAGAAACAGGGCATGGAGGAGCCTGCAACTGTTCTCAGTACTGCTCTGAAACTAAGAAACTGATTTCCCCCCCTTCCTTCTAAGACAAACCAGCAACAGCCTAGATTCCAGAGGTCTTTATTGCCTTCCTACCACAGGAAAAACTGGAGAAAGGAAAAATTTCTATGCTAGAAGAAGCCAACATGGAACTCTCAGGAAATCTAAGGAGTGCCATATCAGTCCTTTCTGTATGTATCTCATGATGTCCACCCATCTTGCCAGCTAAACTTTGGAAGGCTGGAGGAAAACATCCCAGTTTTCTACAGAAAACTTTCTGTAGAAGTGATCCAGCAAGTTTTGAACTGAATTAATTCCCACATATACCATAACCCGTCATTTTAATGTTGGTGTACTGCACTGGAAAACCTGTATGCCCCCGCCCTCAACATCTGAGCCTTATCAGTTCTTTACATCCCCTCACTCCCCAGATTCTTAGACCTGTCATGGATTTGACTATGGCTTTGTACCGGAAATCAAAATGGCATAGATTATAAGGCCTTCTTCACATCCACCCCACCTTCAGGTGTCCAAAGGTTTTCTCCACTGGTAGCTTTGTCTTGCTGTGCTAAAAGTTAAAACTTTTCTCCAGAGCTCTCCTGAATTATCAGTAGGGAACCATGGGCCAGGTTAGAAAAATGAAAGCTTGATTGCCAGGATGAGAGGGTGTACTAGATCATTGTTTACAAAAACTAATGGGCTACTGAAGAAAGTTCTGTCTGAAGTTCTCTGCTAGGTGAGAGATCCAAAACACAGCAGTGTTGTATCTGTTGTTCAAACAGACATACATACACGTCCACGAATCAGCACTTGGCATCCAACTGTGGCCTGAAGAATCATGTTCTGGTAGCACTTAAGGTTTTGCTTTTCTTAGACACAGACCTTGGAGTCAGCATTCTGATTTAAGAGAAATCCAAGGTATCCACAGTCCCACTTTCAGAGACATTAGATGACTTGTCTCTCCTCTTTGATAGTTCATTCAGCATGGCCACTATGTCCTAGAAGACTTTAGTCATTAGTTTGTCATCTCCAAAGGCAGACTCCTTCTGGATGATGATTTATGGGCTACCCAGATGTAAACACACGACCAACTGAGATTGGGGAAATCAATGGCAATCTGTCATAAGCATGTTTCTCTTAGTTTGTTAAAATAATTGGGCCTTAAATGTCCATCTCAAAGACCTGTGATACCTGACTTTGATAAATCATCACACAGAAGGTGAAAGAAAAGAGATATTTAATTGGAGGCAAGTGTAAATACTGATTAAAATGTTGCAGTGTTGTTTCAAGGTTCAGGTTTCAGAATTCAGCTTTCCATTTGATTTTTTAAAAATAGTACCACCATGTGGTGAAATTTTGTATTACTGCTTCAAGTGATATCTTCAGGAAATGTGAGGGTATTTTTGTGTTGTTGAATTTCATTCTGTAGTCTTTTAATTAGGCATTGGAGAAATCCCACAAATGAAGTGTTTTTGTGTTGTGGGTAACTTTGTAATGCTTAAATATTAATTAGTCTCCAAAACATAGTTCAAGTATATGAGATTAGAATGAAGTGAAAATGTCTTATTTAAGTAGCATTTGCAGTTTTCAGGAAGAAGCCAGAATTGTGGTTTTGTTTGTTGGACATTCTGCTTTGATTTACCTAAAACTTCTGTTGGTGAATACATGCCTTTTTAACTTTAACATATGTATGGAAAATGTGTTTCTGGTGTTTATTTTTTAAAATTTGATTTATATCCTGCCATTTCATTTTATTTTACACACACACACACAAACACACACAGAGCTCAAGGCGGCTTACATCATTCTCCTCTTTCTATTCTCATTCTTATCCCCACAGCAACACTGTGAGAGTTGGGCTGAGAGTCTGTGCTGGCCCAAAGTCATCCAGTTGGCTTGAAAGGTTGTGACTTTAAAGGTTGTGAACTTGGTAGAAGTTGCTTTAACAGTCATGAAAACAGCGGTGGAGAAGGCCTATGCCCCACCACTGGACTTCAGCATTACAAAGCTTTTTATTCCATTAAGCTTCTGGAGTTAGCTGCTGTCGCTACTTTACTGCTTCATCCTGCCCTTGTCTCAGTTCTCTTGCATTTCTTTCTTTTAGAATTTTGGATATGTATTTTAGTTGAAATTTGGCGGTTGATACTGATTTGCAGATTTTGTAAGCTGCCTTTGGTTAATTGCTGATGGCAGGGTGGTCTAGAACCTCCAAAAATGATGAAAATAGAAAATCGTACAGCTGCCATAGAAGAAGGGCTGCTCCCGCCTTTGATTTATGTATTTGTTAGTTTGGACAGGGATTACATAAGCGGAGCCAGCTGGAGCTGGGGTCAGAATAGATGGCCCAGGAGGTCCCATCTGACTCACTTTGTTTCTGTTATTTCATTTTTATACCACTCAATAGCCAAGGGTCTCTGGACAGGCTGCATTGACCTGAATCTAGCTTCTGGAATTGAGTAGTATTCATCATGGTCTGACTGGGGAGATGGGTGATAGTGTGTCTGTGTGCATATTATTCAATTGTGAGCTCTAAGGTTGTGGGTACCTTACAAACATGCAGACCAAGCACACATGAGGGATCTTTTGGCACTGAACTGGATGCTTAGACAACCAAATGCCCCAGAAGCCGCGGGAGTTAAACTAGGTCCCAGAAAGCAATGGTTTGTTTTATTTAAGAATAATGGTTTGTTTTATTTAAATTAAAATGTTACATTTTAGGGAATTAGAATCCGACACTAACAAGCATTTAAAAATCAGTAGTAAACTTAGTTGCAGTGTTTGCAAAATGTGTGTGTTTATGCAGTATCACCTCTGATCAATGTCTGAATAGTTCCTGCCTCTCCTCCTTTCTATCTCCTTCAGAGTTGCCTAAGGCACTTGTTTTGACCTTTTCACATTACATCTATTATCCATTTGAGTACATCAGTTCATATGATTTTAACTGTCACACTATTTGATGTCATATAAATTTCTTCATCAGGTTACCTTTCCTTAAATATCCCCATCTGAGGGCAGTTTCCAATAAATAGGTCCATTCTACCACCACCACCTCAAATGCATACTGCTGTATTTTCAGTGTCAGGTAATCCTACTGTCTTATCTTGCAGGTCAACAGCATTAGGCATGTAGGCTGGGTCAATACTAACATTATAATAAAAATATATCAAGACAATAACCCAGAAGCCAAGACACATTTCAATATAGAAGGTGGAATATAAAACATCAAAGGAAATAAGCCAAAGGCTTGTCTAATTTTTAAAAAGTTTTTAGTGGATTTAAAATATTTTTAAAATGTTTGAAAACAGAAAAGAAGGGGTAAAATGAGCTCCTTGTAGAAGTGAGTTCCATATTTTGGTACTGACAAAGAGAAGGTCTTTTCCCACCCACAGTGATTTATCCAGTGTGGGACATAGAAAAAGTCTTAATTGATTACAGGGAGAATGTAGGACCATATGGAAGGAGGATCCTTGAAGTGATTGTGCAGTGATTATGGAAGCAATTTGCCAAGAGCATACTTATTTCCTTTTGTCTATTTTTGAAATCTCCTGTGAAATATAGGGTAAGCTATAAAACAAGTATAAGGTGTAAAAATTAAATGATTACTGTTATATTAAAACATATAAGCCTTCATGCTATGAACAGAAGAAATGTTTTTCAGGCTAACTTCAGGAGCACTTGAATGAACACATATGATACTTGCCACAAATGTATAATTTATGCATATGCAAACATATTTTCATATGACAAAGAAATTAAGTATTTTTAATTGACTATCACTGAACCATGTGTTTTTTTAAATCAGCAAACAAACTTGTGTATTTGGATCTATTGCAATTTAGTATCCCTAATGATGTGTTAATTCTGAGTAAAGGAATAACACAGTTTTTATAGAACTAGTCAGTTTAGACGTTAAAGGTAAGTGCCTACCAAAATGTTGATAAAATTGTGCTTCCTTTAGAGCTTCATTTAAAAGAGAAGCAAGTTTTGGTAGAAGAAATCCTTGAACTGAAGCGAAAAAAAGAACAGGAAGAAAGGCAAATCTCTGCAAAAGAAGAGGAGATATTGCTTGCCAAGCAAGAACTGAAACAGCAGCAAATGAACCTGAGTAACAGAGAACAGACTACCCTTGCATTACAAACAAAGGTATATTAATTACTTTGTTATTAGTAATTTATTACAAACACCAATATGGTTGATCCTCTCTTTCTTTATTAGAGAAAGCATGCAAGGGTGGGAAGGCAGAATCTTTCATGCCCTAATCTACATCCACCATGGGAGTACAAAAGGATAATCTAGTCCAACTTTTGCCCAAAAGCCCGTCATAGGAAGTTGCAGAATACTGAATCAGACCATTGGTCCATCTACCCTAGTGCTGTTAACACTGATTAGCAGCAACTCTTCAGAGTTTCAGGCAAGAGATTTTTGAGTCCAATGTGGAGATACTAGCATTGTACTTAGGAGCTTCTGCATGGAAAATATATACTCTACCACTAAGCCTTGTCTTCAGTTAAACAACTTTCCCATCCATTATAGATGATTCCACAATATTTTAGACCCCCAAAGATGCTTTTAGATATCACAATATGGAAATATATCTGTTATGGAGATCATAGTTTAATTAAATTGAGCCAAATGTCTTAAGCAAACAAACCAGAGAACTCCTACAAGGGATTGTAAGGACTTCTAGGCTGACTTGGGGGATAATTCCACCACAACTGTGGAGTTCTATTAAGTCTGTAGATCTATATCAAGCTTGTGTGTGTGTGTGTATCCCTACACTGAGATATCTGAGATAGATATATATCAAGTGTAGCCACCTTGATGTTGTGTTTGTGCCTGTGTGTGTGTCTATTTGATTGACTGATCAATCACTTGATTGATAATACTTAAGCTCTGCTTAATATAATAAAGTACCTGAAGATTGTTGTTTTGTTTTCTCATTTAGTGCCCTTTTTCGTGAAAGGGACTACATCCACAAGGGTGATTTGCATTCTGATATCTGGGAAAAGATAAAATTACAACCATTGCTAAGACCCAATATTATATATACTTTTAAATATTAATTCAACTATGCTTAAATGACAATGAAATATGAATAAACTGATTGTATTCAGGAAATGAAGTTAAATTAAGTTTCCTTGGTTTAAGAATATTTTGGAATATTTCTCTCTCATGTTCTCATTAAATCAAGGTGAAGCAACAGTTGGAACAGCAGAAGGCAATGGAGTTGCAGCTTTCTGGAAAAAGAGAGGAACTACTGAAATTGCAGTCGACTGTGCATGAAATGGAACATAAAATCTTTAAGAAAACAGCATCGATACAAGAGCAAATTACCCATGAACTAAGGTAATACCAATAATTCTAGGAGATTGTGACGGCTAGTAGTTTTGTTTTCAACCCTGCAAATATTTACAGAAGTTACAAGACCATCTGCCCACATATACCTGTCTTGCTATTTTGTATGAGCCTACCTGCTCATTAGGATCTTCCTTGTTCTACCATAGTACTAACATTACTAAGCTCTGATGGAAATATATCTTACACCTTCCCTGGAGGTTTGTAGAGACTGTCAAAGGCAGTATTGTTTCAAAAGCTTTTCTAGGTCCCTGTGTTCTGTTCTGGCTGTTGAATTTGTATGATGATATGCTGCTTAGATCCCACGTTTATAGATTTGATTTTATTGTAGCTCTACTTATTTTATAATTTTATTGTAATTTTTTTATAGTTGTAAAGCTCTCTTGCAGGTTTTTTGGATCAGACAGCAGGATATAATTGTTTATATAAATGTGCTTATATTTTTTATTAGAAATGAGATGTCTTTCCTTCATCAGCAAATGCACGAGAAAGAGCTACTAGCAGAACAGGATCGTTTTTTAAGATGTAAAATAATGGATGATTATGCAGCTTTGAGCAAGGAGAATGCTATGCTGCAATCCAGGCTCTTGGAACTTACCAAGCAAACACACATCGTAAGCAAAGAAACAATTTGATCAACTGATAACAGTGTGCATATGGTTGTATATATTGCAAAGAGGTGCTATTTTTCAGCAGCCTGATTTTGGGAAGTTGGGTAATAGTTCCATTTTCTGCAAGCATTTTTCATAATTAACAATTTGATAAATAAGGCACAAGTAACAATTTGATAAATAAGGCATCTGCTCACTCATGAAGGCCACTTGCAGAATAGGCTAATTAAATATTCATTCTTTTTCTCTTGAGGGGTGAAAACATTGCTAATTTAAAGACATAATTATGTTATGCAAATCATGTTTAAATAATATTCTTTTGCAAGATAGAGGGAAAACAAGATTCCATAACTGTTGAAGGGTACAGTTTTCACAGTTCAAACATCAAGTAAGGAAAAGAAAAAGTGAACAAGTTGTGATCACCTAAATAGATTCCAAACAGGTCCTTTATCATTCTTCATAACAGAAGGAGTCAAATGTAAATCCACTCTGGTCTACTCAATTCAAAGAATCCCCATGCAGGATTGTAAGAGATTTTTTTTTTCTCTGTTGTTGCTACTACCCGTCTCAAGCAATTTTTCTTGTATTTCTCGATAGGCACCAACATTCAGGAGTCATGAATTGTTTCCTTAGTTATAGATGCAAGGCTTTTGTTGAGGACTTTTCAATAAGAAGGGGAATTAAGAAGTCACTCTGCATTGGTAGAAACTACCCACATGAAACATCTGGTGTACTCACCCAGAAGCATGCTAGCCACACAGCTAGCATTTATTTTCAGATTACTACTCTAAATGCCATTGATTGACTGTTATACTTCCAAGAATTAAATAAAACTAATTTCATGCTTAGCCCATCTTTGCTCATGTAACTGGCTACAGGAAAGAGCACTCAAGGAGGAGAGCTACACATCCTATTCTGCTAGCATTTCTCACTTTCGAAAGGTGAAAGATCATGGAGAGCATCTGCAACAAGAGATAAAGAGGCATCAAGCACTTCTGGAGCAGGAAAAGAAAACTTTTCAAGAAACTGTTGAAAAGGTTGTTTGACAAGTAATTCTTTTTCTCATTAGTAACTAATGTTTTCTTATGATCTCAAAAACATGCAGTAGAAATCCTTTCTTATAAGGGACACAAACCAATAAACATAGTCCAGGTTCAGAAGGAAATCAAAGAATTATATGCATAAAGCATGAATATATGTTTTTCACTCATAGTTGTGTACTGTTTCGTTTATTTGAAAGATATATAAATGACTTGGCTATTAGATGGTATACAAATGAAATTATGTATGTGTGTGTTAGAGAACGGGAGACAGAGAAAAAGTTTTACATACTGATTACAGCATTCCGTGCTCAACACTTGGGAAGTGTTTAGTGGTGTAAAAGGTTAATTCCTGGGATCTCCAAGTAAGAAATCTGACTGACACCCCCACCAGTCCTCTTATACAGTACTCTGCTCAATGGTGTGCGTAGGCAGCATGTTTGTGTGTCATGCCAACACCCCTTAGCAAAAATCTGTGGTGGGTTGGGTACTGCGCGAACAACGCACACTGCGCAAGAGACAGTTCAGCTCACTGTGGATTGTTTGCCCCTTCCCTTCCTCACAAGGGATACCATGGCAGGACCAATGCATCACCCTCTTCCCATCACAGCTGCAAGCTGAAAACAGCTCATCACAGATTTTTTACTTCAAACTGTACCCCGCCCCCCCCCAAAAAAAAAAACCAGCAGGATGCACTTGTGGACTTTCCTAAGCAGCTAGAGTATTAGGGGAAAAATACAAAGTGTACATCACTTTGAGGGATAATATTTTTTTAAAAAATAAGGATATTGCCACAAAAAGTATAAATCACACTAGCTGCATCTTTGCTTTCCCCTGACAGCTTGCCATTTGACTGTTGTCAAGTGAAAGTATAGGAAATCAAAAGAAGCTGTTTGCAGCCTCTTTAGGTCAATGTCCAGGTGTGGTATCTGCTACACTTTGGCAGAAGGTACCCCATGGCATTGAGCAAGTCAAGCTCTGGACTTGGAGAACAGCAGACCCCCACAGGGCAGCAAGTGCAGATAACATAATTTTTTAAAAATCGAACATTTGTATGCACCATGTATGCTCGTGCACTCTGAAGGGCATGTCAGGGACTGTCAAAACAACTGTTGCTATCTCCAGGGAAAAAAAGAGGAGGTAAAAGGCAAAAAAGCTTCAGGAAGCCCCAAATGGTCATGGTGGAAAGGTCACGGTCATGGTGGGAAGGAGCAAGCCAGTGCCAGCTGCACCCAACTGCCACGCGGCTCACTATCTTATTTCCAGGACCCATGATGGGATCATTTGCCTGCAACATGAGAACCCTTTGTTGGTACAATAACAGCTACAACATGGGTTGTCAGGGTGGTTTTTTGCCCAAGAACAAGCCACCCTGGGGGAAACAGCCTGGGTTCATGTGCCATGATAACCTAGTCATTGGATGCTTTGAAATGAGCACCCCTAGTGCTACCAACTGGGCGGCCCTCTGCAGTTGATCCATCTTTCTCTGTGGTAAGAAAATAAGATGGAAGAAGCAGCAGGACAAGATACTTATCGATAGAGTGTTATCTAGAAGTGCCCATTATCTCAGCAAATGCATGGTCCTGATTCCACATTCGCAGAGATAGTAGGACATGTCAGCAAAGGTAAGCACTCAAAAGTGAAGATAGGTTGAAAAGAGAGATACCGATATGCTATACCCCCTTCTGTACTTGTTGACTGTCCCTTACACATGGCCTGAGGCAGCTTTAATCACCTGGGTTCACTTCCAATTTTAGAAAAAATCCCTTTAAAGCAATCCGGAGGCTTTTCAGGGAGAATAGATGACTGCAGGAAGGATTAAGCCTTTACTTCCTGCTTGCTTATTTTCTGTTGCATTAGTGCTACCAGGAAATGTCCAGTTCTGCTATCCAACACAGTACACTTGGGTGATTCCTTGAGGGTCTGTTGTTCCTGCCATTCTATCAATGGTTCCTTTGTTCTTCAGAGAGCCCTGATACTGATGGATGGGAGACAGAGCCTCGCATGGAAATTCATGTGCACCAGGCAGGCCTACAGTTTTAGTATGAGGCATATAGCAGGGGTGGCCAAACCAAAGCTGGCGAGCCGCATGCATCTCTTTGCGTTTATTCTGCAGCTTGCCACTCACCATCTGCTGCCGCCGCCCATAGGCACCCTCTTGCGGCTCTCAGGCATCTGACATTTACCATATGTGGCTCTTCTGTTTAGCAAGTCTGGCTACCCCTAACATAAGGTATGGCATCAGGGAGTTAAGGAACTGGCACACCCAACTTTTTCAAAGTGACTGGGGACACCTATGATTCTTTTGGCTCAGTGTCCTGTTTTCCAGATTTCTGTTGCAATGCAGATGGATGGTAGTCTATACATTAACAGGTTCAGCCTGCATGGATAGAAGCCCCACAGGTGCTCTGTAATCCTATCTTTATATTTTCACCAGCATTGTTCTGTGCAAGACACTTCTGAAGCATTTTTTATGTTGATTATTGTGAGTTTTCATTATTTCCATTCCTGGCTTATTTATTATTCATAGTTTCTCACAGATCAAAATTGTGAAAGAAGGAACCACATCTCTTGACTTGCATGTTGCAACACTGTGCAGTCGACTAGCTGAAATCAGAGCTAAGTTAGACAAAGAGGAGCATGACAACCTTGAGTTACAAAGAGAGGAATCTCTGCTGATTGATCTTGCATCTAATCTACAGAAGCAGGTACTCTGTTATGCATCCCATATATTTATGTTAGGCAGCTGCAGGTATTATATATGTATTATTTATTTAAAATATTTCTTGGCAGCCCTTCAGGGCAGAAGCCCTCCCAAGGCAGCATACAATGATAAAACACAATGAAAACTGATAGGGTCTTAAAAAGCAAAGTACTGTAGTATGTTTTCAGGGCCTTCTTAAAAGCTTACAAAGGTGGGATCTGGAAGACCCCCAATGGCAGGTCGTACCACTGGTGTGAGGTGTGGGGCCACTGTGCAAAAAGTCCTCACAACCTAATTGCTCTCACAGGTGCAATGTGGGGGCCTTCCTTGCTAATCTTAAAGTGTGACCTCGTTGATAGGAAGTCCTTCATGTAACATGGTATCAAACCAAGGTTAAAACCAATGCTTTAATTGGGCTCACCCACCACTTTTCTTCCTTTAAAAGTAATTCCCCTCCCACACACAGGACTTGAGAGGTATGGGGGAGAGACTCCATTTGTCTCTTCGATTGGGTCCCTGTGCATTTACATAAAAGAACATTACATCACTTGTAGTCTATCCATAGGTCCTGTTGAATTCGGTGGACTTACTCCCAAGTAAGCATACTTAGGTTTTCTGACTTACTCTGAAAAATGAACTGCCAACCCAATGTGGTTTTGCTTGTAGGGTCAAACTACATGTTAAAATGCTGTTTAAAGTGGTATTAAGATATGTCACTTCTCTTACTTTCAACATAAAACAGCCACAAGATACCAACACTGGGTTAGTATAATAGTGTGAGAGAAAGTGGGGTGGGGATAACCTAAGCCTCTTGACCTGCATTGTTGTCCTGCTAAAAATCAATTCTTCATGCTGCATTTCCCCTCAGAAATTGTTATGTGCAGAAAGCAACTTTGGGCATATTGTTTTAGGACAATAATCTTCATGAAAACAAAATAGGGAAAAGGTTAAATTTTTTCCTAAGCAGGGTTTCTAGTTCAGGTCCAGATCATAGCTGCTTGTTTGTTAAGAAAGAGAAGAGACTTCTTTAAAAAATAGTTTTCTTAATGTAATGTGCAGCTTGACTCTTAGGAAACATCATCTTAGCTTTGACAATTTTTTTCATTAGCTTACTGGGAAAGAGAGCAATCTTCTACAGGTATCCAGTAAGATGTTGCAGCTGGATGAAGCCATTTCAGCGTTAAAAATGAGACATACATTGCGTCAGTCTCTTCAATCAGAAAAAATGGGATGAAATTTCCAAAATGGGATATTCTGTGAAGAAATTCAACAAGTTAATGAAAGATATGGTAGTCAGCATGGGAAAGTATTGATCTGGGGGTGTAAATGGGCTTTTGTTCCTTATGGACTTTGTTTTGAGATAAATGTTCAACAAAATTTGAATGATTTAATGCAACTTGATGACTTATTGTCAGCTTAGAGAAGCCCTAGTATTGGGCTCTTCTGATTGTAGAGGCTCTGTCCTGTTCAAAGTCCTGCCAGTCTTGTACTAGTTAGGGCAGAAGGAACAGCTGGTCATTTTTTGCTTCTCCACTCTCCAGAAAAGGGGAACTCTAAAGAGCTTCACAATTAGCCTCACAATTTGTCTAATCTCCCTTCTGTGTAGGAGTGGGGCATTCTTATGTTTGGGTGGCTGATGCTTAGGATCCCTCAGGCAATCATTCACTCCCCATCCACAAGCCAGACCAACTACAGGGTTGGAGTTCCAATTTCATGAAGCCACTGCAACAGCTGGAAAGATTCAAGAAGAGACCTCTGAGGTCAGAGCTCTACCCAAGACCAGGGGAGAGGGCCTGAACCCCTCTGTAACCCCTGGGACTCCAAGTAGAAACCATGAGATTGCTCTCATAGTCATTTTCAGCATTCTGGGAACCAAAATTTATTATATATTAATTCAGGAGAAAGATTTGTCAATTAGAACTTGGGTGAGAGATAATTATATAAACTTAAACATAATCCATATTTACTCTGTATAGGGTAACAAGTGATTTACTGTAACATAGTTTCCAATGATATTCAATTGAGGACACATTTAATATATTAATAATAATATTGTTTAATGGTTTATTTTTAAAGTTATACATTTACCAGGGAATGAATAGAATTAATGGAATGTAGTTTATTTCTGAATAGATGTATTTGGGATTGCAGTGTAAGGTGTATTACTTTGTCAAAGGTGCAGTGCTATTCATGTTTAGACAGAAAAAAGGCCTACTGCTACCAGCATTCCGTGGCCAGCCAGGAAATGCTGTGAGATGTACAGTTTTCTGCTTTCAATCATGCACAGGATTGCACATTAAATACTTCTTTTGTTAACTACTTCTAGCGAATGAACAGCTTCATTTTTAATGTGATTTCGTCTATATATTTGAACTTTTCATTGCCAAAACCAGTTATTAGCTTTCCCTGTGTTACTTTGTTGTATTATTTTGACTATCCCTGTTAAGCTGTATACAAAAATTAAAATAAATTTTAAAAATAAAGAACTTAACTCATTCCTATGCATTTGCACCAGGAGGCAACATTGCCAGGTTGTAGTTCAGTGTCAGCACAGAGTTGTTTGTGATAGAGCTGTTGCCTTGTACCATCCTAGGCACTTTTGTATTGGTGCAGCAAATTATACTTTTATCCCATTTATTCATATCTGTGCTGCTTGTCAATCTGGATATTTCCAGGGTATTTCACAAAACAGACTAAAAGTTAGCAATGCTAAAGCCATTGGGATAGTAGAGGAACATGGGGAGTCTTCAGCTGGTACAAAGAGAACAAATAGGCATAAGGCAAGTCTTCCTGGAAAGAGAATTCAACAAATAGTGCTACAACCAAGAATCCCCTTTCTCCAATCAATATGTATCTCATCCCAGAAGGTGGGGGAACATGGAAAAGAACTGCCTGCAGTCACATGAAGGACAATACAGCCATTTATGTTTTATGGACATTCATAAAATGCTTTTAGAAGGGCTGCCCAATGTGTCTTTACATAAAGAGAACGATGCTGGATCGTAGCCTATCTAGCACAGCAACATGAGCCATGGAAAACCCACAAATAGAACATGAGTACAACAGAAGCCTCCAGTGACTGGCACTGAGATGTCCTCAGGAAATCCACAGGACATGAGATCAGCAGCAGGAGCACCCTCCCACCCATGTGTCTCGGCAGCTGGTGTACATAGGCATACTGGCTCCAAGACTGCAGGAAAAATGAAAGCCATACAGCCATTAGAGCTAATATAGAGCCATTGTGGTATAGTGGTTAAGAGTGTGGGACTGAAACTCAGCCATGAAGCTAAGTCGGTAACAGAATCTCAGCCCATGCTACTTCACAGGTACAATGATGTCCCTCCATTCTAATATTATGAGAGGGGCTCTGTTCTTCAATGCATCGTATTATGGGGCGTGGGGGGGGGGGTTATAGTTGTTGGATCTTTTCAGATGTTTAAGTCAATGTTCTTGTTGTTGCATTCACCATATGCACTTCTTTTGTTGGTCATTTTATGTTGCAATGATTTTATATATTTTGAATTTACTATTTTTATGTTTTTAAGTAAGTTCCTAAACTATACTCCATTCTTCAAAACATAGTGTACACAATATTTCTCTAATTTTCAGTGCATAAGAATTCACTAGCTTCAGTGATCTGTCAACTTATGGTTTAAATAGCTGTTTAGGAAATATGTAAAACCCACAACAATCCATGCTTCTCATATGTATCATCATATCCTTACATAGATAGCAAATTCTGTTTTGTAGCCCAAGGTTAAGTATAAAATTGCAAAGGGTCCACCATCCCAAGAAAGTAGTTAATAACTTATTTATCACATTAATTCAGATTCAAATCCCATAGGCAATTTACGGGAAAATAATTTTAAATGTATATCATGATAGATGCCTTTGGCAGCTATGATATTTCAAACATTTATCTGTGAAGAAGCAGAATTAAGATGGAATGCAAAGTTTAGTATTTTCAGTATTCTAATTGTTCATTCTATTCTTCTCCTAAATTTAAAAAAACAAGCAAACAAACATGCTATTCTAAACCTTCAAAGAACCATAGATATGTGTTCCCAGAAATGTATGTTATTACTATTTATCCTCTGAATGAATGTCCAGGTGCATGCCACAATGATCATGACACATACAGCGGAATTTCTCACTTTTTTCCTTGGGACACACACTGACTGCTTTTGAAATGTCACTGCCATACTCCAAAGACCAAGCTTACATATGAAGTTACTTGCAGGATTGTAGGGGTTTGTTATGTGTTTTCTATGCAATTAATTCTTCTCACAATCCCCTGAGCTAGGTTATTATTTTCCTCATTTTATAATTCATGAATTACAGTCAGAGTGTGTGTTGCTCAAAGTCAGTCATTTAATTTATATAAAATGTACGTTCATATTTGTTTTAAATCTGAATAAGAGGAGATCACTGCATCCAAGTCGTTAAGAGATGTATCTAGCTCATTGGCAGTTACTGCTCAGCTGTCTGATCCAAGTCCTTGCAGAAAAATAACGCAAAGAATGTATTAAGAATGTATATTTTATTTTATTTTATTTATCACTCTATAAAGACTGCAAGGTAGCAGTAATGCCATTTTAAAAGCAATATAAAAGCCATACAGAGAAAAACAGAAGAAATGACAATAGATTAGTAACATAAATGTCAATACCTGCTCATATAACCAATCAGGGAAAAGATCCACCAGAGCCAACTTCCAAGCATAAAAACTGAGCTGGTTTGATGTATGTTACTGGGAAGAATGTTCCTCAAGAGAGTACCACTTCAAAAAGTGTTCCTTGTCATTCATAATCATGTACTTATAACTGCTCTTGATAATCTAAAGTTTTTCATTTGTTTTATGTGTGTATACATGTTCAAATATATACCTGTCTGAAGGAATTTTAAACACTGGTCTTAGCACATCTTGACAGATCTGTTCCAATGAGACATGCTAACCCAAAAAAGGATTGGTTGAGGTGCACAAAAAGAGCAAAACCACTCAGATCCTATGGGAATGGGGCAGTATATAAATATTATTTTTTAAAAAAAACTGTACAGTACAGTTTTTTTGGGAATTAGCTAGCCGATATATGAACTCCAAGATGGAATTCATCAATTCTTATATCACAAGCAAACCTTCGTATACCTGACAGAAAACAAAATGAATCCTATAGAGCTCAATTTGCAGGGTTCAAACAGTGAGGAAATTAGCTGAGACCCTTGCTCAGTGTCTACACTGGGGCTGCTGTCTGTGGAAGGGGAGGCCACAGACAGCTGAAAGAGGCTAGAAAAACTGGGACTCTGAGAGAAGGAAAGGAGGATAATGAGGCTGGAGAGACAACAGGGACCTGCTGTGGTTGGTCTCTAGCTGAGGACAACCCACAATGTCTTGGTCTCATACACAATTACTGTGGCAAAAAAGAAGGGTGGGATGATTGGGATATCTATACTAAGCTGATTTATCAGTTCCCAGCACCAACCACTTTTTCTTGCTTCCTGCTCCAGGTGTTTGTTGTGGACCATCAGAGCCACCATAGTTTCAAATTGTCTTGTGTCAAGCCAACTCTTCCAGTATGGATTGACTACATTGTCCAGGCAGAGGTAGCAAAAGGAACAAGGTCTTAATCTTTCCTACTGATTGATCAGGGCAAAGCTGCTACAAAGGGTTCAGGCTTCAACCTAATTAAGAGTAGTTGAAAAATATCTGCTTCATTGACAATGCTAAAGCCTTTGATTGTGTGGATCACAACAAATTGTGGCAAGTTCTTAAAAAGATGGGAGTACCAGACCATCTTATTTGTCTCTTGAGAAACCTATATGCGGGTCAAGAAGCAACAGTGAGAACTGGACACGGAAACATGGATTGGTTCAAAAATGAGAGTTTGGGAAGGCTGTATACTGTCACCCTGCCTATTTTATGCAGAGCACATCATGAGAAAGGCGGGGCTGGATGAATCACCAATTGGAATTAAGATTGGGAGAAATATCAACAACCTCAGATATGCAGATGATATCACTCTAATGGCAGAAAGTGAAGAGGAACTTCTTGATGCGGGTGAAGGAGGAGAGTGCAAAGGTTGGTTTGAACCTCAACATTATGAAAACTAAGATCATGGCATCCAGTCCTCTCACTTCCTTTCAAATAGATGGGGAACAAATGGAGGTAGTGACAGATTTTATTTTCCTGGGCTCCAAGATAACCGCAGACGGGGACTGCAGCCAAGAAATTAAAAGACGCTTGCTCCTGGGGAGAAAAGCTATGGCAAATCTAGACAGCATACTAAAAAGCAGAGACACCACCCTGCCGACAAAAGTGTGTATAGTCAAGGCTATGGTTTTCCCAGTTGCAATGTATGGCTGTGAAAGCTGGACCATAAGGCTGAGCGCAAAAGGATTGAGGCCTTTGAATTGTGGTGCTGGAGGAGACTCCTGCGAGTCCCTTGGACTGCAAGGCAATCAGACCAGTCAGTCCTAGAGGAGATCAACCCTGACTGCTCTTTAGAAGGCCAGATACTGAAGATGAAATTCAAATATTTCGCCACCTACAGAGAAGGACTCCCTGGAGCAGTCCCTAATGCTGGGAACAACTGAGGGCAAAAGAAGGGGACAGCAGAGAATGAGGTGGCTAGATGGAGTCACTGAAGCAGTTGGTGTGAGCTTAAGTGGACTCCAGGGGATGGTGGAGGACAGGAAGGCCTGGAGGAATGTTATCCATGGGGTTGCGATGGGTCGGAGATGACTTTGCAACTAACAACAATAAAAGATAGCATAAACACTCAGTAGAAAAGTATGTAAAGGTGTTCAAAGCTACAAAGAATAGAAAAAAAGGTCCAAAACTACAGCAGAACTGACCGTGCCTAGGGAACCTGATGCATCATTCTGATTCCGATTATGGCTCTAGAATATGGGGGACCTTACAGGGTTTTTAAAAAGGGGACACATGGACAAATGTTCTGGGCCCAATTTAGACAAAAAAAGGAAAATGGAGAAGACTTTGGACATAGCAGACAGCATTTTCAAGGGTGTGAACGCAGGATGGGCAACTTTCAAAGTGGTGCTCTTAACCTATAAGGCTTTACATGACTCAGGACTCAAATATCTCAAGGACTGTCTCTCTCTCCATAACTTACCCATTTCTTGAAGTCAGAAGTTCTTCTCTGTGTTCCTCCTTTAAGAGAAGTCAAATGGAATATAGTGGTACCTTGGCTCACAAACTTAATCTGTTCCAGGACTCTAGTCATGACCCAAATTGGTTGTGAGCCAAGTTAAATTTCCCCTCACATTCCCCAATGTGAATAAGGTTAATCCATTCTGTAACCATTTTTTTAATCAGAAAAATGTGAAGCAAAGTGACAAAGAACAACAAAGATCACAGCCATCTCCCCCTCCCCACCCTGGGCATGAGTGCGGCCATTTCCCCACCCCACCCCCCAGCATGACCGAGATCGCGCCTGTCATCCCTGCACGCACCCCGTCATCCCAGCACGCTGGGGGAGGGAGAGAGGGGCGCGATCTTGGCCATCTCCCCCCTCCACCCCCAGCACGATTGCGGCCATCTCCCCACTCAGGGGGGAGGGGGGGGGAGATGGCTGCGACCGTGCTGCCTGGGGCGTGGAGAGATGGCCGTGATCATGCACGTCTTCCCTACACGAATGCAACTGCAATCGTGGCCATCTCCCGACTCCAAGGCAGAGTTCATGACCCACATCAACATTTTCATGAATATTTTGTTCATGACCCGATTTGGTCATGAACGAAGGTGTTCGTGAGCTGAGGTACCACTGTACACTTGTGTTTCTGGAATGTTCTTTCTAAGGAAGCTCAATTTGCATGGAAGCGGTCATCTTTTCAGTGTCAAGTATAGATATACCAATTTTCCTTAGGACATTAATTATGGCCCAGATGTGGCCTGCTTTTATGGTGTTCTTCTAGCCAATGAGTGGGCAGAGAGTATGTTTTTTTTTTGGATGAATACTTTTCATGCTGTATTGCTTTTAGATTATGTTTTACAGTGTTCTATTATTCTGCTAATTTTGCTTTATATTGATTTTGCCTTTTTTTCTGTTACGTTAGTCATAGGTTTCTCTATTTCTCTGTGTAAATTGTCTTAGGACCAATACTTTACAGTGAAAAACACATCTAATTTCTTCATCATCAAGACCAATCATCAATGAGATTGTGGAGCTGCTGGGCAGGGAAACCTGCTTATCACTAATTATGCAACTCCTTGGAGGTAAGTGACTGCCTGGGATGCACTGATGCCTAGCTTCTGAATACTGTGTCTAATCTAATCATGAGGCACTTAATCTAATGCAGTCTACTGAATTATATTGCTGAACTTCTGTCCTGGGTCACCTGACTTAATGCTAATACCCTCCTGGCATAATCACCTGATTTTACCTCTTCTATTCAGTGGCTCCTGCCACCTCTCCAAGCTTGTTTCACACAATATACAAGGCTGGGTCGCCTTAAAGCCACAACACCAAGGATAAAACATTGTTCGAAGAGTCTAGTTTGATGGGAGGAAAAAAGCTCCCTTCTTCCCCATCACTTTGGCAACTCTCGCAGTCCTTCACGTGTCATGACTTCATATACACTTGTTCACCCGTGAAGAGAGAAGGGTTTTAGCGGTCTATAGTTTTACCTGCGATAAACTACAGATATAGGGACTGCCCTACGACGAAGGTCACCTCGCCTTTTCACAGTGTGAAAAGTTTTTGCTTTTACAGAGCCGAGGAGGAGCCTTGGGGTGGATAACCTTCTGGGGCGCATGGCATTAGAGGATCGGTCGAAAGTCCAAAACGGAGCAAAGCTGAAGTCACATTTTCTCTTCCCGCCCACCGCTCTCACACATACATATGAGGATGCCTGGCCTGATCAGCTCCTCGGCTTCACTGTAGAGAGCTCCCACGGCAGTAAAGGGTCTTCGCGGTCGGAGGCGTGTGCTCACTTTTGGGATGGGACCCCAGCGTGCTAGAAGGGGAGGGCTGCCCCTTCCTTCCCTGGCCACCTACGACCCACCTCCCAAGTCTCACTGCATACGAACAAGCCAGTTCTGCGTGCGCGCGCGCGCCTGCAACAGGAGAACCGAGACTGGAGCTGGAACGCGCTTTGCTCCCGCGAAACACGCGAAGCGGCCCCGCGCGGTGAAGGGCGGGGGAAGGGAGGCGCGCTCCGAAGGCGGGGCGGGTGCGCGCGAGTGAAAGGGAGAGAGTGAGGCGCCGAGCGGGAAACGGGCCAGCAGGCGGCGCTACACCGAGGCGCCTCGCGAGTGTGAGAGGGAAGGCGAGGAGGCGGGCAAGGGCAGCCCGGAGAGCGAGCGCCAGCCAGGCAGCCAGCCAGCTGGTAGTGGCCGGTGGCTATCAGGGGCAACCGTCGCGGCGGGCAAGCGGCGGCCCCTCGTCGCGGACGGAGCCACCGCGCGTGTCGCCGGGCAAGGTGCTGCCGAGGAAGCGGCGCCGGCGGGACAATGGAAGCCCAGGCGCAAGGTTAGTGCGGGGAAGGTTGGATCCTTCCCTGTGGACGGGGGTTCCGCTCTCTTTTCTCCTAGCTGCTGCTCAGTGATTTTCTGGGATTTTCCGGCTTACCTTCTCCCCGGATCGTGCCAAGCAAAGAAAGTTTTGAATGCCTTGGACCCGTATAGCAGCAGCGACGATGGCAAGGATGGGCTACTTCTGCGGGATGGAGGCTGCGTCTCTGGACTCCAAAAGGGCCAGAGGGGAAACCCCTTCCACCTCACTGCCCCAGATACTGTTTCGAGTACTTCGAGCTGCAGCGCTGTGTGAGGTCGTTCAGCTGTGATTATGTGAAGTCAGTTGGAGGTATTTGCTGTGAGCATCCTGTAGGGTTGCCTTTGTTCGTGCTTCTTAACAAACTGCCAAACGGAAATCTTGGAGATTCTTGAGTAGAGCCTCTCCTCCTCTCTGCGCCCCTTTACTTCACTTGCAGCATAATTCGCTGTGTGTTTGTTCAGAAAGCTTGGCGTATTGCGTGGGGGGGGGGGTCACTCCCGTGTACGGGATGGGGCAGCCGTGTGGCACAGACATGAGTAGCTCCTTCTCGGTGTAGGGGGTTTTCTTCTCATCTCAACAGACAGAGGATTATGTCGTTCAGCTACGACTGTCCCAGCTAATTTCCCGCTAAGGTCCAAGCACAGCTCCCCGGAACCATTGATAGCTCTCTGTCATTCTCTTCTCTCCCTCTCCCTCTCGGTAATGCGTTTTTTAAAGTGGCCCGTTATGTACGTTTCAAATGGAAAAACTTTCCTTTAGAAATATTAGCATTTTTCATTGGCATTGTATTACTGTATTTCATTGTCATTGTCTCTGAGATGTGATGGGTTGCCCGTCATTCGCAGAACAACCCTACATTTGTTGACTTTGAGGATGGAATGTAGGAAAAGCAGTAAAAATGTTCGCTGGAAGCTCTTCTGGACTTTCGGAATGGAATAGCTTTCCAAATACCTTCTGAGGTTTTATTCCACTTATAAAGGAGGCTTGGTATATTAGGCATCTTTCCATGTGGGTTATTACAATATTATCTCTCTAGGGCTTTGCTTGGATTGCTGTTTAACAGGCTCAGCAATCTAGAGCAAACTGTTATTTCTCTTAAAATCTACTGCTTCATCCACCTTTACTGCTTTATTTATTTTTTGTTCTATTAGCCAATACTTCTCCATTTGTTATTTCTGTTTACACACTGGATTTATTACAGCTTCCATGCCTTTCAGCTGGCAAGGATTAAAATGCTTGTTATTAGTGGAGAAATATCTAGGTGAATTAGAGCTTTTCAGTGCAACATTTGCTTCTTAATGACCTCTCTCCTCATGCTGGAAATAGTAATCCTCTTCTTGTGACTCGGTCAGCAGCATGCATGTTAGCGAGTTTATGAGCCTAGCAAATAATTGAGGAATGTTTTTCAGGCTGCGCTTCTTAAGTGAAAAGGAGTGTTCTTGCATATCATTACTAGACCTAAAAATGTAGTGTGATAGAAATAGTGTGCTGAAATAGCTGGATAACAGAAAGACACAATTTTAAAAAGACATCCCTGGAGTGTGAAACCAAGATTTTTCTGAAAGAAAAGTAGGAAGTAAACCCATCCAACTCAGCACAAATTCTTAGATCCCCCCACCGCTTGTTTAGAAAAAGTAAGTCACTAATTAGCTATGATAATATGGTAAGGAACTTCATTTCCTGGTAAGGGAAGCTCTGAGAGTATAGTAAGAGGCTTCAGACTTCATTTACTAGTTATTGATATTCTTAATAAAACATTTGAACTGAATTTAACGGCGCCCCTTCTGAATCATGTATTTACAACAGTAAAACCTGTTGTACTTTGCTGGGCTGTCTTCCAAATGACTGTATAGAGGATCAGGCTATAACATTAAACCCAATATATAGATTTGTTCAGATTTATGCCACTTTTGCTTAGATAGTTGCAGAAACTTATTTCAGCATATGTGTGTTATATAGCCCTTGTCAGTCACAATTCATAGTTATGTGCAGGCACACTTAATTGAAGCAGGCATGTAAGTACCAGCATGTTCTTATGTGTACATATTCAGCAATTAAGTTTAATGGGACTTACTGTTGAATAAGTCTTAAGCAATGCATAGGATTGCCATCCCAGTGTAACTTTTATATTGTAATGTGTGAAGCGTGATTTTGAGTATATTAAATGTGATATGAAGCAAAAACTTAAGGGCAAATGCCAGAAAATGTCATTGTATGCACAAGTTCAGGCTGTATAGCCAGGACTTTTTCTGGCTGCAAAAACCAACTTTTCCAAGTGCCATTTTCCAATGTATCCTACCTACTGACAGCTTCCTGCAAAACCCTTTCTCCTCATATATTATGTCAGATTAGCATATACATGCTACCATAACTAGTTCTCATAGATGTGGACTGAGATGTAACTGTAAGTACACTCTTGATTGATCACACACTTCATTTGCAGATCTGCAGTGCATTGCATTTATTACTTGGGGATCTAAAAGTTCCTTAAAGGCCAGAGAACTCTCAGTTCTCCATTCTTATAGAGTGCTGGAAAATGACTTGGCAGTTAAACCTTATTTTCAGGGATTACCTAGACAACATACAGTGCTTTCTACACACTGTGGATTTATTATATAAGGCCCATTAAAAGCTGTTTGATGTTGTGCTGTATTTTTTTGCCATGAAAAGGTTGTGGGAGAGGAAAACATTATTGCATTGTTTTATACATGCAGAGGGAACAAATCTTTTCAAGTAACAGGCATGCCTCTTAAACCTTTTGTGCAATGTTGTGAAGAAGCTGGTTAACTGAATGAAATGATTTTGAACTGCAGTTCTTGGTTTAAAAATTCTCACTATGAACAACTTGCATAATAGAGTTTTCATTTTTACTTTCTTCACACTTTGTAAATGCTATTTGTTAATAATATAAAGGATAGGCTTGTATCAACACAAAACGGTTAACATCATCACCAAAGACAGCTGCAAATGTATAAATGACCTGATGGGACTCTAGTATCTAATCTGAATTCATTTATACCTCAGTTTCACATGTACATTTATGTGCAAGTTGATGGGCCTAGTGCACTTGCCAGACTGCATGTGATGCAGAATATTTGTGAATAGGATCTCCATGGTTTTTGAAGTACCCTTGGTTTGTGAAGGAAGCCATTAAGACCTGAATGAGACTGCTGGGGGCATTAAATGGTCATCTGTTCCTGCTTAGTACATGTCTGATTACTGTTTGTTTCTCCAGCTGCTGTTTGTTTTTCAGGCCAAAACATAGAGAGGCATGATAAACATTGAAGTGACTTCTTAGATAAGATCTAGAACTATAAGAAGGTGTGGTTCCAGTTTCCTGATGGTATTGTCAACCTGTTAAACCTTTCCTCAAAGCCCCATCAGTGCTAGCAACATATCAAAGGTGAAAGTCGAACTTCTCAGGCAGCTAAGAATTAAGACATATTCTTAGGGTTTTCCATACCAGATCTGTCTTTTATTCACAGTCATTTCATATAGCTGGAGAAGGCGAAGAGATGAGACAGTGAGGCCATGTCCATCAGCTTGGCCTGGCCAACTGCCCTTTGGGCTCCTCTTTACTGGAATTGTCTCCATCTAGCTGCATCTGACACCAACCCCCAACATTGGCCTGGCCAGGAATAACTGCCACTTGACTCCTCCTTTCCCAGTCCTTCCTCCCGCTGGTCATTCAACAGCTGTGTAACTTTATGATGAGGGAACAGGAAAAAATGAATTTCTACTCATCTCTTTTCCCTTTTACAGTTTGTCTATTACATGGTCAGCCAGCAGGCAGTGACTGTTGTTTTTCAGTTGTTCTGCAGTGCCTGGAAAGACAATGACAATGACCACGACAGTCAGCAATCTGGTTTCCTTGTGGTGTCCTAGCAGTCTCCAGGTGTCCGTTTTGTATGCATAAAGCACCTGCATGTGTGATACCTTGGGATGTCTCTAGCCCCAAGGCCAATTGGGACCCAGTTAGTTCAATGGAGTAATCTCAGCTGTGTTCCAGTGGGAACTCTCACCCACTCCTGTCCCTGGGAAAACTCCAGCCAGCATGTGAGTGCCTAACAAGGATCACCTGGGGGTTGTCAGGGTGTGAGCATATAGCTGGCAGGTGGTGGTGGTGGAGTCACAGCTGCCCCTTGGCTTTGTCTTTCTTTGGACAGTGTCATCTGGGCCCTGTCCTGTTTGAAGACCTTTGCCAAGGTATATATAGGCAGATGTAGCTAACTATTTTTCCCCGCAAGGTGTTGTTTCCAAATTTGTTCTGCTTCCTGTGTGCCTATTTCCCTTTCTACTTTTCCTTTAACACCTCTTTTTCCCAGCTGTTGGCATACTTCATTCTGAATTGCCTCAACACTAAATCCAGAGTCTTCCTCTTGGTTGTTGTTCTTTTTAAGATTCCAGGGTGAAGCTGCCTGTTTGACCTCTTTTTCATAAGTCTTGGGTCTAGGAGTTCTTCGGCTCAGACTAAGGTGGATATAAGTAGATGGTGGCAGCCTACCTTACAGCATTGGTGTTCGGTCTGAGCAACCTTTCTGCACACCATAGGAGTTAGGGCATCCTCCTTTCACAAGGATGATGCTGTGGTTGTGGCCATGTTCCGATCTCTCTGTTCCTTGAGATGTTCTGTTGTAAACTGAACCTTATCATAATCTATATTTTATTAATAAAGATTTTGTTTCCCCAAATTATTACAATGGTTTTATTGTCTCATTGGCCTGTCAGGTTTCTTTTGATAGGGTTTTCAGTGTGGGTTGTCCTGAAGCAAATGAGAGATGATAGCCCATGATGGTCTACGGAGATGTGCTCATGGAATCTTCCAAGTCTGGGCAATGGTCAGGAGAGGACTCTTTTGGATTCTACCCACCTTTCAGTGAGAGGAGACAAAGTGCCTTTGTGGAAGGAACAAGAGATGGAGAGCCGGGGATTTACAGAGGTGTATTTAGTCTTTACAGCTGTCTTACAATCTGACT